GGCGCGCACGAGGGCGGCCACCATCTGGGGACTGTTCATGATGGCGTGGCGAGAAGCCTCCTTTTTGGATAGCTGATGCACCATCATGGCTGCCTGCGAGACGACCACCTGATCCTCGTCGTTCAGCAGCTTGATCAGCTCCGGTATGGCGCGTGTGGCCAGTTCAGCGTCGTCCTGGTAGTTGATCAAATTGACGACCGCATGCTTAAGCATCTGTGAGGGCTCCGATAGGCGCTGTACAGCGGTTGGCTGCTGTGGATCAAACTGTGTTGACGGTATCTCGATGCCCTCCTCGAGCGTCTCTGGGAACATGGCGGCGCGTACGCGTTGCGACCGTGTCTGGCTCAGCTGTTGATTCATATCATCCACCTGATCCTGTGTAAAGTTCTGCGGAAATCCGGTGTCCAAGTCGAACATTAGCGGATCGCCCTCCATCTCCTCATCCTCCTTGCCGGATAACGATGGCACCTGGGTGACAGCGCCCGAATGTATGCCAGAATCACCCAAATAGGAGTTCTGTTGCCACATCAGCGTCTGCTCCTTGGCCGACACCATTGGTGGCAAGTCCGGCGGATTATATTGATTATTATGGGACACTGCAAAAGATAATTATGCATAAGATATAACAGAATGTTGTGGCAAATCCTGACTAGACTACACTGGAAGCAGTGTCGACATTATCCTTTAACGGGACACCCATTTACTCGCCTCAGCAGCTCAAACACTCTTCCGCAATATCCTGACAGCTCAATATCCTTCAAGATACTCAGCCAACAAACACATTTTTATTGGATTTGCATTTCCGTTGCGGAAATAACAAGTGCACTTCATATCTAGGATTAAAGCCGATTCTTCCTCTCGCTACCGCGCTCTTTCTCTAATGGGTTAAAGAGGAGACGGGCGCAAAGGCGATGTCTGGCTTCTTGTCGGATTTGAAATGCGACACGATGACAAGCGAAGTGACAGCAAAAAGAGAAGTGGAAACAGCAACTGAAACAGGAATGTGACAGGATGGGGCTGCAGGACATTTTTTGCATATTATAAAAGCGACGGCCCCTTTCAAAATTAAAAGAAACGTGCACCAATATTTATAAAGGAATATATATATATATGGATATATGGATATATCTATATATATATATATATATATATATTATATGTGCATAAAAAAAGACGTAACCATCAGTGTCGTTTGTGTCTCAACGAGCAATCAAAGCCAAAAAACGCTGCCAGGACAAATGACTCAGTTCCAAGGGTTGCTGCTTCTCAGCTGTCTCTGTGTGTGTGTGTGTTTGTGTGTGTAGCATAGGGCGATAAGCGAGCTCCAAATGCGTTGGGCGTTTTGTTTGCCACTTTGCCTTAATTATGCCTGCTCAGCAATTCGCTTTGTTTTTGAATTTGCGCTATTTATGCGCTGCAACTGGCAGTCGACGACGACGACGGCGGCAGCGAGGTCCTTGAGGCCTTGAAGCCTCTATTCATGCATATTTCCCAGATCGATTAAACGCACTTTGTGCCATATTCTCAGGCGGGTCTAAGAACGCCCTTCAGTCAGCCCTACGACCACTGCGCGCCGCTCTAATTAAATTGTTCAGTACAAATCTGAAATAAGTCCCAAACGTGCGCCAGCAAGTGAAGTAGAAACGAAAAATACATATATGCATGTATGTATGTACGTACTTTTATACATACATACATATATCTGGAAGAGTTAACGAGCGTGTGCGAGGGAGATGGCTCGAAGAAACAGCACGAGAGCACACGCACACACCCACCCACACCCACACGACCCAAACCAAACGAATTGCAAATGAAGTGGCAGCAACAACAAGAACAAGCAAACAACAACAGCAGCAGGAGAAGCTGTGGTTGAAGCAAAAGCAACAACTGCCGTTACAAAGCGCAATTTGCAAAGGCAGCAAGAAAAAAAAAAGAATGTTGAAAGCGCAAAGAGCAAAATGAACAAGTTGGCAGGGATGGCCGCACTCAAGCAGAAGGAGAGATGCATTACAGCTCAAATAAAAAAAAAAGAAGATATGTATATAAAAGAAATACTGACAAAAGAACATAAACAACAATGGCGTCCGATAGATTCATTTGTTGTTGTTGTTGTTGTGCACTGGAGCGAGCTGGCTCACTATTTGTTAGCTATATTCGATTACTACAACTACGCTTTTGCCGCTGCAAAATAATCGTTTGTCAATGGCCATTGAGGCGAATATGTGCTGCAGCTCTGTGCAAAAACATTGATTGGGTTCCAGCCCCGCCCTAACACTGCCTCTGTCCCTGCCACAAGCCTTTTACATTTTGATTCAGTTGCAGTGAACAAGACCGGGAATGCGAGTGCAGAGTGAACCACTTATACAATGTAAAAGAGAGATAAGTTCTTTAATCATTTCCGCAGGCTTGAGAGAACTTTACAGTTATACTGTTACAACCTATGAGCAATTGAACTAGTTGAAGGATTGCTGAATTGCAACTGGTCAAAAGGAAGTCAAATTTAATTAATATTAATTAATGTAATGGTAATTTCCACACTTATATCGGTAAATTATTTATTGTTATAAATTTAGAGACTTACTTGTACGGTTCTGGGCTGGCATGTAACTCATCTTGGTGATTTAGGCGATTTACACCACACCTAAAATAAAAGAAAAGAAGAAAATATATACAAAATGGTTTAAGATGGCCAAACGCTGTCAGTAAATACGATTTCTGTACTTTTCTCTCCTTCAACCGGCTTCCTACCTGCATAAGCCTAAGCTCTATATATACATATACACAAGATTTATGTACATACATATATACTTATAAACATTGATGCTTAATCGTTTCTATGGCCCTTATTTAGCGCTAAATGCTTTCATTCACAAAATTTCCAGAAAATTGAAGTAGTTATGAGCGTATGAGCAAGTATGTATATATGTATGTATGTGCATTACATTAACATTGACATACTCTGCACTTAAAAATTTTAGCGTGAGAGCTGCTGACTCAAATTTCAGAGGAAGAAAACGTGAGATGGAACACTAACTCCCTCAACTTATACTCTCACAACAGCAGGTAACACGAGCATCGTTACTCACTTCTTATACTGTATAAGCTAAGCGCACAGACACACACATATGTATACCTATATGTGTGTATTTGTACGAACAAACATGTATTTCCGTTTTGAGACGTAGCGGCGCAAACAAAATATGCTAAGGTGCATAGTTTAGATAGTGCGTACGTACATTTGTATGTTCATGTATATGTGTGTGCATGTAGGGCAACAAGCTTAGATTTTGAAAATTACCTGCAATGTGAAGAGCACAGCTACAAACCTGACGCACTTAAATCACGCAAAAAAAAAACTATTTTAATTCAGCACAGCTTCCAATTACTTCTTTTTAATAATTCACTGAGAAAAAAAAAAACAAAATATTTGTATGTAGTCGAGTTTTCACTGCTTTGCCTATTTTTTTTTTTTTTTAAGGCAAGCCTTGTACTGGTTCTAAGCACACGCAGCCAAAGAAACGAACGACCAGCACCGAACGAAGCAGACAAGTGACTGGAAAACAGTGAGAACGACGCCGTAGCGGCCGCGTTGCACGCATATACATACATACATTGTGCAGCGAGAGTGAGCGAGATGATGGGAAAGAGAGAGAAAGACTGTGTGTACATAAGTACACAAGACAGAAACTCCAATGCAGCTTAACAGTGTTGCCATATGCTGCGATACAAAATGGTAATAAAAGACATATTTGCATACCTTTTCTTGGAAACCGTTTCTGGTTTTGATTATTTTTGATGACAATATTTAAAAATAATCTCATGCACATATATCCAAGTACTTCTTTATATTCATATATATGTTTTGTGTACATGTACATATGAATGTGTGTATGTTTTATGCTGCGCAGAAAGCTGTCAGCTCCCTTCTGCACGCATACATATATACATATGTATGCCATACATACCATCGAAATACATAGTGGTCTTTATTCTAATGTGTATTTATAAATGAATACATAGTAAATGCATATATACTAAAGAAATGAATACCACTTATGTAGCTATCTTTGTTTATGTTTACAACATATTAAACAATATGGAGATTCCATACATAAATACATACATGCAACTGCCAGTGTTTATGGCTGTATATGTGAATCTACCACACCCCCGCTAGTTGCTTGTTTCCCTTGGTCATAAGCAACTTTCTTACGTTTCTTTTTATACCATTTTTTCTACATAAACCTTCTTAATTTTTGTTTTACATTAAAATTAATTAACATTAACTACTTACCGCGTCAATAGGAATTAAGTCTGCTTAAAAGCAGGTTTTATTTATTTTCTCGCACTTAAATACACGAAAATTACTAAATATTTTCCAGCGAAAACTAAGTATGTGTGTACATAGAAAAGACCTGCAATACCTTCAACGATACTATCGTTCGATTGGCTTAGTTATCGCAATTATTGTACTTATTATCGATTATTTAACGTAATGTACTCGATATAAATTTTATTCACTTTTTGTTATTTTCACTTTTTTGTTTGTTTTTAAAGTTAAAGGTAACTATAAACGTTTGATGAATTCAATGACCAATTGATTTTAAGAAAAATGATAGTAGTTTCAAATCAGATTTGGTTCATTTGTATTTAAGTACTTTTGTATGTTTGTGTGTCATGTATATCCCATTGAGTATGTCAACAATCCACTTGTATTTAACTTAATAATACATAAGAAATATTATTTATAAAATATTTAATAAATGTATTACTTACCGTGTCAACAACAAAATTCTCTGCTGTGACGCAGGACTTATACACAAAAGTGTATGCACCGTATAAATATAGCTTATAAACAAATTCTTTGCAGCAAACACTAATTGTTTGTATTAGAGATGGCTTCAATACATCTATCGATAGCAACAGTGTACAAATTGCAATCGACAAATTGAACTGTGGTCAAATCAAATAAAACAAAATAAAACACATGAAGATGACCAAATAATTCATATGTCTATTTCTTACTGGGAATTCTACATATTTTCTTTTTGATAGCTTATTAATATGACCTGCTTAAGTTCTACTTCTAATTTGATTCATTAACTGTAGCTGCACTAATATTTTCTTGTAAAAATCTAAGAAACGCATCTCGATAACGCTCCATTCCAAGGAATCCATAGATCTGTGAAAATCCAAAATATGCAACAACAGCAAAGATGATGAAAGCAATAGCCAAACTTCCAATGCAGGCAAAAAATATCATCAAGACAAACGTCAATAAAGTGCCTGCAATTAGAGCCAGATATTAATTTGAAGTTCTCAATAGTTAATACTTAATACAACTACCTTCCAGTACTAGAATGCCTGTAAATGTTATCACCAAGGTAATAAAACCAAAGCCAAAAATGATTAGCAAAGGCAAAAGGAATACAAAACCTGCAGCCAGCAAACAGATCGAAAGATCTGGATGCTGGACGCACCATGAAACGGCAGCTTCGAAAAACTCATTGCCGCCTAGTTCGCTCATAATGAAGTACACAAGCCGGCGGCCCTGAAGCCCTAAACAAGAAAAGTTATATTACTATATTACTATTAAAAAAAAAGGTGTTTTTTAAGTATAACTTACATAGCTTTTGCAGCGCTTGGAATAGGCCTTCTAATAGTTGTTCTGGATTCAAAGACAGCGAGTCCGAATCGGTGTCTTGTTTGCTGTTTGCGTGCGTATTATTTGATTGTGTCTGTTAATAAATAGTACATTAAAATCGAGGCTAATTAAGCGGCAAATGCCGCTGCCAGGGCAACAAATGTCATAAACTTCGATTGTGCTGCTTGAAAGTTCATTCTTATTGTGATTTGCGTGCTTACCATATTCTTGCGGTGCAGCGTATTATTAGATTATTAATCACTTGCCGCATTTACGTCCATTTTATGTTTCAGATTTAGATAAATCTTTGTGAGCCACAACATAAAAAGTAAACATTAACGACAATAGGCCTGCCAACTTGTTTCCAAATGCAGCGCTGCCAGAGTTTTTAAAATTTGTAAATCAATTGTTCCACTGCAATCTGTTAGTGGAATTAGTGGAATTGAATTATAGTTTGAAAAGATGCAACTAACGTTAATATGTGCTAACTACAAATCATGACCACTAAACGAGTTGATAAAAGAAATTCAGTTTACTACATCATAGCATGTCAATTGGTAATTATGTCATTAAAGTATCTTATGTTAATGAAGTATGAATTTTAAGCCGTTGAAAGGCGGGCGTTCAGTAATTCGCCCCGCTATAATTTGTTCGCCGTGTATTGTCATGCGGCAACGCCTTTTTGGCGCATGTATGCAATTCAAATAAGTGGCCGCTTCTCTACATTGCAGCGGCATCCAGCCGTACACCTGTGACTCCAGAAACGGATACTCCGGTAACGCTTTATGGAACCTATGGCGTTGCGCCTGCGCCTGCTTCTTTAATATGGACTGTTGTTCGTGCTTAGAATAAAATTTTGAAGTGATTGGATATACTGAAATAAAGGAATTTTTAACATTAAATTGTTTGTTTTTATAAGAAAAAAAATGCCATTAACTTAGACTTATCTTCAAGTTCTTTCGAATCAATTATTTAACTAGTTCTAATTTTTATGCGAACCGATATATGGTAAGTGACATTCGCACAATTGACGAATGTTCAGCTACGGATGAGAAAGGGAAAGAAATAGTTTCCATGCCTCATCTCTCTCGTATGCAATTGAGACTTGAATCGGAACACAGTTTTAAAAGCACTTCCGCTTACAGTTTTTGAAACACCTCAAGTACAAAAGAAATAACACTTTAAACAAGCACATACCTATATTAGAGGGCACAAACACCTCGGCAAGGCGTATATGTTTATTCGACTTGTTAATCAACTCCTTTTCAAAGTCGTAGGGCATAGGGCGTGGATCGCCCTCGAAGTGATCGTTGTCCTGATCATCGCCATCCTCGTCATCGTTGTCACCACTTTTTGGCTTCATCCCGCTGGCCAGAACAACGTCTGTGGCGCGTAGCGTGCCGTCGCCGTCTGCGATTGGGATTTGCGCTGCAAGGACACCTGTCTTTTCATTTATAAAACTTGAACTCATTAAACTTTTGCCATTGTTATTGTTTTTCGTACTTGCTTCTGTTATTACTGCAGCCCATGACAGGCAATTTCGCCAGTGTACACACGCACCCACAAATATACATATGTAAATATAAATATATATATATATATATATATATATAAACGCATACAAATGGCTACCGGCAGCAGCGGCGTGACCTACATACATACACACAAGCACACTTTCTTTCTCTATCTGACACACACACACCGACGTCAACATTACAGCTCGTTTTGCCATTTATTATTTTGCAATGGGGACAAAGTCGATCATCATCATCATTATCGTTATCGTTATCCATGACTGCAAAAGTTTTCCCTTTCGCTGCTTGCGCCGTTCGTTTCACGTCATTCGCTGTCGTTACGTTTCCGCAAAGCGAAACCGAACGCGAACCCATGAAGTATGCAGCAATAATACGAAAATAAATACATTCGAAGGCATGCCCGATTACATGCTACCCTGTAGCCTTGCACTGACAACGGCTTCGTGTGGCATTTTATATTGTTAAATTAGTACAGATTGTTAATAATATATAACAAATATGAAATTCTTAAATAAAAATGCATTGAGGTATCTTACGTTTGTATAAATCTGCTATTTATAATTGTAAAAATAAAATATAAAATATTTTATAGTATATTTAGTTCCAATGTCTTTATACAATTTAAATTATACATTTCGATTAAATTCAATTATCTTGAGAATCGCAGAGAAGGTCGATGCACTTCAGAGGAACTTATTTAAATTCAACTTGATGTTATTTAAATATATATACGAATAGCTAAGCCTGGTCATAATTCATTTAATCTCTGTCACATGCATGCGTACGGCCTGCACATACCCCATTCGTAAGGTGTAGAGGGTATTGTAAATGGCATTGCGTGCCGTCGCATCAGCCGAGCTGAAGGTGAAACTCGCAGCCTGGCAGCGAAAGCAGGAGTCCGCACCTGGAGACAGGCGCAGGGCATTGTGCAATCCTTTGGGCTTAATCGAAGACATTAAATACACCGATTTAATCGGAAATAAAGTCAACAGTCAATCAAAATTAATTACGGCCCGAACAAACAAACCAAGGGCCACGCGCTGCGCTGAGTATGGAGGCATGCACGTAAGTATTAATAAATTATATAATAGTATTAACTAATTCCGCACAACAACTGAACCTTAACTTATAGTTACATACATATATATATATAAATATATATATATATATATATAAATATATATATATATATATATATATATATATATATATATATATATATATATATATATATATATATATATATATATATATATAGATGGACTTATACGTAATATCTAACTATCTACAGGATCAGTCAACAGATCACATCGCATCCGGATAGAATTCACGATAGGCGAACGCTTCGATATACTCCGGCCGTCGACAGCTGAAGAGCTCGTAGGACAACTGCTTGTGGGCGTGCTTCTCGAGAGATTTGCGCGTCTTCTCTAGCAGCACGGCCTCGTCGAATTTAATCCGTTTCACGGTTGTTTTCCGTAAAATATTCTGCACCAGCTGCGACCACACGGAGCCCTCCTCATCGGGCGTCTGTTGCGGCTGCGGCTGCGGCTGCTGCTGTTGCTGCTGTTTCTCTGCGAGGTCTGTTGTGTCGGTGGGCGTGGCTTTGTCTGCAATTGGCTGCACTGGCGCTGGCGTTGGCGTCGTTGCTATTGCCGGCTCCGTCTTGGCCTTATTCAGATCCTGCATAATCGTCTGCAGGCGATCCACTGTCTCGGACATGCGCTTGCGAAAGTCAACAATGCGTCGCGTGTACTTGAAGAGCTCCCGCTGCTCGGCCGGCTGCAGTTCGGCAGCGTGCAACGTGCTCAGCTCGTCGGCGCTGAGCAGCGGCTGGAAGTGCTGCAGCTGCGCCTCGTTGGTGCCCATCAAATAGACGCGATACATAAAGTCCTGCATGGCCGTCGTATTCAGCATGGCCAGCTCATAGTCCAGAGCCGCAGCGTGTATGGCACTGCGTATCAGTTCCACGTCGCTGTCGTTGCGATCGCCAGCGCCAGTGCCGGCCGTGGCATTCGCATTGAAGGCGAGCTGCAGCTGCAGCCGCTCGAAGTGATCCAGCGTGTCCAGTATGTTGGACAAATAGCTGCGCAACAGCTCGCTGTCGTTTTCAATCTTGAGCAGGCCCAGGCGACGAATGAGCCGCACATTGACTGCATATTGTTGCTCCAGCTCGAAGAGCTGCCACAGCGAGCGCATGCGACTCTCGTACTCCTTCTGAGCGGCTATGCCCAGGACGCTGCTGATGTTGCCATCGTAGAGCTGCAGGCCCCGAATGAAGGCCACGTCCATGGTGTAGTTGCTCATGAAGTTGAACACATAGCTGAGCGTCTCTTGGGCACTGGCGAAATGCTCGCGTCGCTGCCCAAAGAAATCGTCCAGATCACTGACCGTCAACTGATTGCGGCTGACTGCGCTGCTCTGATCCGTTCGATTGTCTTCACGCTCCTCGCGTATGCGCTCGAAATTGCTAACCAGAACATCCGCCGCCGGCTGCTGAAACTCATCGAACACCTCAATGTCCACGGCCATGGTAGTGGTGGGTCGTTCATTGGCATTTGTGGCTGTGCTCGCCTGGCTGGCTGCCTCGAAGCTATGGCCCGGCTGGGACGCCTGGCACTGCGGCTTCCATGCCTCCTGCTTAGCCACGCGCTGTTTGCTCCTGCGCTCGGAGAGACCACGCGGCGTAAATGCCGCCAGATCGAGCATGTTGAATATGTCATCTTTCGAGTCGTGGCAGCAGTGCAGCGCCGACATGTCCATGGGATGTGCTTCGGTATTGAAGATATAGGCGCCGGCCTGCACCACGCACACATTCTGCTCCGTGTCGAACAGCTCGCCATGCCGATCCTCGCCATCGTTGTGCAGAAAGTTGTCCTCGTCGAACAACAGATACAGATACTTGGTGGTCTCGGCCAGAAAGAAGGACTCCATGCGGTTCTCCTTCTCGTGGGTGACCACGTTCCGTATCTAATGGAAAGCGAATGCGCTTTAGCCAGGGAATCTCAGTCTTAATCTAAGGGCAGGTCTTACCGTCGCATAGCCGCACTTGGTTTTGGCACTGAATTCAATCGTCTCCAACATGTGTTCGCCCAGTTCGAGCAGATATTGATTTTTGGTTGCACGGTACAAGTACATGGCCGACTCGATGAGCTCCGGCCGCAGGGGGTAGACCTCGCGATTGGCCGCCGCTTCGCCGGCTGGAATGTTAAAGAACTCTGGCAGAAAGCCATACTTCTTCCACACGCTAATATAGCGTGTCATTGTACGCATGGCGGGCTCCGTGTCGCCCACAATGCTCAGTATGCCCGGCCAGAAGGATTCGAGCGATTGGAAGACGGGCAGCGTTACCTGGCCCTTGTTCATGCCCACCCACACGTACCAATCATCCTTTCTCATGTACTTGTCAATGGGCGTCCGGGCCTCGGCGAACAGCTCCAGCAATTCAGGGCGATTCAATAAAATGGCACCCTTGACCAGATACTCGAACAGGGAATCGACGCCGGCGCCAATGCCCGAGTCCAGTGCCGTCCAACGGCCACTCTGCACGTCTATATGATTGCCGAACAGTCCGATCGGCGACCGTCGCTCCCAGAGCGCATATATCGCTTGTAGGGCCACTTCCTCGTATATGCTCTTGCCAGTTAGCCGGCTCAGGGTTCCGAACTCAATTAAAAAGGTGCCCACACCTGCCGTACACGTGACCGACGTCTCTCCATTGGGCACGCCGTAGCGTAGGTTGACCGTGCCATAGGGCATGCCCGTGCTGGTATCGAAGGCTGGCAACAGTCGCCGGGCCACATCCTCGGCCATGCGCAAGAGCGGCCCGGTGCAGGGCCAGCCTGGCTCCACATCGACACCAGCGCGACGCGACAGAAGATGCGCCGATAGCAGGCCGCCAACAATGCGAATGTTCGTCTCGAACACCGACACATTGATGTCCTTGTTGAAGTTCATCTTTTCGATGAGCAGCGTATGGACGCGACGAAACTCCGTAAAGTTTCCCATGGTGGCCAGCGTGTCCAGTGCGTCGATCAGCGTCAGAGAATAGCTGCCCCAAGTATCGTGGCCATCGCAGGTGAGTGGGCGCAGCTCATCATAGTTGCCGGCATATTTAAGATAGCCATCGTATGCATGCTGAAACATGCGCCGAACATCCTCCCTACATTGCAAATACATATACATATAGCACTGAACGTTTTCATATATAAACTTATTCCTACCGCAACTCCAATTTGCGTGTACGCGAATAATGCTTTTGCCCGACTAGCTGTGTGGCGAAGCTGAGTAGGATACACAGAGTGCCGATGATGTACACGCTTTTACAAACTTTTTGCATATTTCAATAAATGCTTTGCGTGCAATCCATGCGTCCCTAATTAGATTATGAGCATTGTCAAGTCCACATAGCCAGCGGAAGCAACGAGTGCGATTTGCGGTTCTGGCTACGTAGTCGCAAAACAAAAATCAGCTGTTACCGCTATTAAGCGGTGTATGCATGTATTCTTAAACACAAATATATCGATGCTTCAGCAGATCATAACGATACCTCGATATATCATAATGAATAAGTTCCACAAAATAATCAATGAAACGGTTATCCTTACGTGCTTATATGAAGTTATTATTTACCTGATTGTGATTTAAGGTGCATCACAATAAGAAAAGTGACAAAATAAGATGTCGCAAATTTTATATTTTTAATAAGTTGTACTGTTAGAAAATTAAGCTTTAAGTTTTTTTCAAATTTCATTGTAAGCTTCAACTAAGTCTGACTACAACTCTCTCTATAGAAAGAAAAAAAAACAGACAAAATATGAAAAAATCAAATCGCTTTAATTTATGTGCAGTATTTTTTAATCGGTATTTGAAATTAAAAATCAGTCGCAATGTATCGATGACATAGTTGAAACTCGCCCATTTAAAAGATGTCATCGGTTCGATTAATAACAAAGAAAAGTCAAAACACAAACATTTACAAACAGCAAAATGAAACAGAGTTCCTTATGTATGTATTTACTTAATAACCATATTTTATATAATGATTTATCCACTTCCTTATGCAGCCATATTTGCCGAAGACATCCTCAAGGATTATGGCATTTTTATGGAACAACATGACAACAAAATGCAATTGTTACGAAAACAATTGCTCAACAATGGCACAGAAGAGCAATTATTGACATCTGTCGTGCCGGTCATAGAAATAAACTATATAGAGAGTGATAGCATATATGGAAGCCTTAATCTGAGACTAACTGAGCCGGAGCTGCTGGCCAACAAACCACTCACAACTTTGTCCAATTTGTGCAATCAGTGCAGCGACTTAACCAAATGCGCACAACAATTACAATTGAAATTCTTGAGTACGAGCATTCAGGTGGAGAATTTGCAAATTTCACTAGGCATAAGTCCAAACATGGGCCTAGAGCATATACTGTGCAAAATGAGTTCAGCAGTTGATTTCTTTTGCCAAGTCTATTTTATGCTCAAGCGAGCGATTGTTCTGCTCCAGAATATTTGGTCACAAATCACTAGCTATGCATCCATTGCTATCGATATACACGAGGCGCATCTCTTTGTGAGTATCTACGAATTAACGGCAATTCACTGTTTTTAACCATATATATATTTGCACAGAATGTCTTCGATGCAATGGCCGAACTATTGCAGCACATCTTGATATTTAACGAGCTCACCGAACAGTCAAATCTGTCAAACAAATGGAGCTTCTACAAGAAGTGGCTTCAAACGTTGGCTAAGAATAGCGAAACATTTGACAGCTGCAGCGCCTTCGAGCTAAAAGGCCTGGAGACATCGCTTAATGATATAGAAAATGTGATTACTGGCAACATCTTTCGGGTAATCAAACATCATAAACAAAATAGTTTATGTCAAACCATGTCACAAACACCTTATTCCATAGATATTTCTGCAAAGCTTGCTGGAGACCAAGCGACAGTTGAACCTGAAAGATGCAAATGTTAATTATATAACGCAACATTCCAATGCGTATATGCGCAAACTGATGAGCTGCATCGAGACGAATCAGGCGCACGACTATAAACACTATGAGGAGCCCAAGCATCTGCTACGACTCGCTGCATTTATCTGCGTACTGCATCAGCTGGGCATTCTGCTCGATGGGAAGCTGATGAAGAACGCTCTGGATACACTGATGCGTTACCAGCGTGTTCCTTTAGAGCGAAACGTTTACTGGTCGCCCCACGCCTTCTTTAGCAAGCACGCGAAGACGTTGGTCAAGGCCCAGGAAAAGCAACAGGACAGCCTTAAACAATATCATGCAGCAGTGGAGAAAATAAATCTTAGCGATCTGAAAAGCTGCCGCCAACTGGGCACACAGCTGGCATTGTGGTCGATTAGTATGCAAAGGGTGTTTGCTGGCGGCACCTTTGGCCAGTTGAAGAGCTTCTCGAAACTGATTATACAAGGCCAGGGCTATGCGAACCAGGTGAATGGCCTCATCGATTGCCTGATCAAGCGGCACTTGACACTGGGACTGCACATAAGCAAAGCCACTCTGTTTACGATTTGCAAACTGACACAATATCTGCAAATACTGCAGAAAACATTTGCTGACAATCAAATCCTATGCATACGCTTTATGAGCAGCCTCTGGCAATGGCAAAAGCAAAAGATTCATCATCTACTAATGCTGACCAAGAAGAGTATTGTCGATCTGAAGCTAATGCAAAAGAAGATGAGCATTTTGTCGACGCTAAAACTGTCAGAGAAATCCATCAAAGGCTATCCCAACAAACGGCGGCTGACCATTGTGAATCTGGCGCTGAGCGAATATCTTGGCAAGGATCGCACACTGCCAGCCGACAAGCAAAAGCTGCTCAAATCCATTTTCTTGCGCACCAACAATCTCTGTCGCTTGCAACAAAATATGTTGGGCCAGTTCGATTCAACGCAATTGATCAGCAACTACGATTCGCTGACCTTGACCTCCGATGCCGGACTCAAGGAGTATGTGCAGCAGCAGCATAATCCCTATTCACTGCAGGTAGGTGTAGGGATCCTCGCCAGCTATTTGAACGCCTCTATTAATGCACATTTACAAACGTTAGAATTTGTTTGCAGCCAGCAGCAAGTTGGACAAAAACCTGGCCTTATACAGGCATACAAGCTGCCCGACCACGCAGAAATTACTAGACTGTGAGCGGGACTTTCTGTGCAATCATCTGGAATATCTATTGCGTGTCGAGGCATTGGCACATCTATTTCTCAGTCAGGAGCATCCGTTCACGCAAACAACATTCGACTACAGGAGCTGCATCGAAGTGCCTGCGACGGAAGTGAATGGGGCCTATAGCATACTGAAAGGTTTCCAACTACCACAGCTTGTATATGCTTAGAGAGAGTTAATAAGTTTGTTCTACTGTTAGATAATCTTGAGAACTACTTTACGGCCACGTTCTATAATTTGACAACAATCGCGCCACACGATTGGAAGTCATATGAAAAGATGCGTCATCTCGCCAATAAACTACTACAACTGCGGCCAGTCGATGACTATTTGCCCAATCAGATAATTGACCAGGTAATTAAAGTTAAGCAACACTTCGGATAAGAGCTGGAAAGCTATCCAAAACTTATCCGAAACGTTATAAACCAGTTTAGATGAACAAATATAAAGTTAGAAGCGAGGACTCGAACATTTGAAACTTCAAACAGTAAAAACTTTTTATCCGAATTATTTAAGACATGTTTTTATGTGCTCTTCACCTTTTTATATTGTTGAATACTATAAAAAATCTATACAGAGCGCATATTATTATTATCCATAATCCACATTCTTTATCCATACATATATTTATTTAAAACACTTTGCTCCACTTTCTTTAGGGCATTGACGTACTTCAGATAATGCGCAATATTCACACTTTTGCCTCCACATTCGCCTACAACATGAATCTGCAACTGTTTGTGGAGATGCAGAGTCGAAACAAGCATTTAGATATAATTGGAACACGTCACGTCGCCAACTCCGTGCAGACCCATGGCACGGGCATTATAAATACGACTGTGAATTTCATTTATCAGTTCTTGCGCCAGAAGTTCTATACGTTCTCCACATTCTTGCACGACGAGCATATAAAGTCGCGACTGCTTAAGGAATATCGCTATCACGCTGAGCACAAGCACAGCAAGCCCTATCAGTCGTATCCCTATGAGAGGGCCGAGAGCTTCATTAAGAAAATACGAAAACTGGGTGTGTCCAACAATGGCGAGACGTACATGGATCTATTTAGGAAGGTTATAACACAAGTCGGTGAGTGTTTAACAGACTCTCTCGGAAGTCATTCAAAACTAATTCTACTGGCTTGTCCGGCTACAGGCAATGCTGTGGGCTATGTGCGTCTGCTGCAATCGGGCAGTAAAAATGCGAACTTTAGAAGTCGCTCCTTTATGTCCAGATTCAACAGCAACTTTATGCGCGGCGAGGACAAAGACTTGGACCCAACAACGCTCGCCTCAATCAGGGAATACGAGAAAAGTGTGGAGCATCTCAAGGAGTGCTATTCCGACTGCACCAACTACTTTAAGGTAGAATGATTTGTATTTTCCTTGGGACTGTTCCTAACTGTTGTTGAACTTGCAGTTATTGATGCAGGGATTCCAGCCATTCCTGTGCAATCCACACAATCATCATCTGCGCACATTTTTTCTAATCACACCCGCTTTGATTATGAACTACATCGACTATAGGGTCAAGGAGAAACTGAAAATGTACAAAAAGGATCAATCGAAATGCTCGCTGTTCGAGGATGGCTTTGCCATCGGCCTCGTCTACATTCTCAACATGCTGAACCAGCTGGGCGATTTTCATGAGCTCGGCTGGCATCTGACGACCACACATCAATTAAGTGCCGAGCGTCTGAAGCTCAAGGATATTCTGGCCACCCAAACCAAGAATCAGAGCAGTTCGACACACCCAACGGCCACCGACGAAAAACTACTTCAGACTGTCGCCATCACCGAGAGGCATGTGAATGCCTTCGAGCAGGAATACAATCTACTTTATGCTACTTTGAGTAGTGCTGAAATATTCTTTCAATAAAGTTCCATCTGGCAGTTGGGCGCGTCGTGAGCTAAAGCTACAGATCAACTAGAGAATATGTTATGTTAAAAGTTATATATATATATAATGAATTTATACAATTTTACAATTATAAAACACGAACCAATTCGTGCCTCGTGTCATGTTGGCAAAACAAACACGACCTTAGCTCCAACAACAGAAATGCAAATATATGTAAATGGATTTCGAAATTGGCAAAAAATTTCAAATTGTGGTTTAGTGTTAGCACGAACCCATCGCTAACAAAGTTTGTAAATTTATTGTACATGATGTTAAAAGGCAATGAAATTCCAAATTATATACAATTGTCACACCTTTAGTAAAAGTTTGTTAATTCGGGTTTTATTTGTTTCTAATTTCATTTATTAAGACGAAATTATAAATTTGATGTTTGGTAAAATTGAGTTTCAAAAAACATTTGTTATCCATATGTTAGCTGTGGTTTAACTTGTTGTTAGACTATATGTTAAGGTCTTAATGAGGGCACTTCTAATGCAAGTTCTTCAAATCGTGTCAAATCACAAAAGTATATATATATATATATATATATGTGTATATAGGGGTAGCGTAAATGCATGAAAAATACAACAACTGGACATGTATTCATATCCTTGACACGAAATCCTTCGAAAGTGTTTACAATATTTAGATATTAGAATTTTTATAGCGTTACACTTAGGATTAAACACAAATATAACTGCTCGAGTTTATCATTCAATTTAAATCTTTTGATAGTCACGCCAATCGGGTTCATTTCTCTGTTTAGAATCGTTTTGCTGTTTTACTGCTGAGTCGTGCAGGTATTACAATCAGACTCTTAAGGTACACTATTGTGCGATTCTATCTTGCATTGACAATGTTTACCTGAAAAGTTGCCCATTATGTATATTATATATTTATATATATATATATATATATATATATTGATTGATAACATAAAATGTCTATTGAAAATATGTATTGTATTTCATATTATTACAGTAATTGGTAAAAAAAATTGGAGAAAATGCGAACGGATTTTCGTCTTAACAGAATTTCCATCTTAAAGTGAACCACAGTCGGCAACCACAATCTTCTTTGTGGTCTTGCCGGACTGCGAACCGTACGACTCGATCTTCTTGACAACGTCCAGGCCCTCCACGACTTCGCCAAAGACAACATGCTTGTTATCCAGCCAAGCGGTCTTCACGGTGCAAATGAAGAACTGCGAGCCGTTGGTGTTGGCGCCAGCGTTCGCCATCGACAGGATGCCGGAGCCGGTGTGCTTCAGGCGGAAGTTCTCATCGGGGAACTTGTTGCCATAGATGGACTTGCCTCCGGTGCCGTTGTGATTGGTGAAATCACCACCCTGGCACATGAAGTTTGGAATGACGCGATGGAAACTGGAGCCCTTGTAGCCAAAGCCCTTCTCGCCAGTGCACAGAGCACGGAAATTCTCCGCCGTCTTGGGCACGACATCAGAGCGCAGCTAGAATGTGAGAGAAAACGAAAAAAAAAAATTTTATAAATCAAATGAATGCACATATATATAAATAAAATGTGTACAATGACCGGAAAATTACCAAAACTACATGCATGCACACACACACACACACATATGGCAAATCAAATGCAACTATAGAAGGCGCCTGGGGTGTCACTGAAATTATCTATTGTCTAAATGTTTAATTATATATTTATAAATTTAAATTGACGTAAGCCAATTACATCATCAAAATCAAATCATTTCTATAAACTTTGTTCTTCAAAGTCAAACGGGTTTACTGTATTCTTTACACACACACACATAGGTATCGCATGACATACAAGCTGCCTTTCTACGTTTAGAAATTGAGGTTATGTTTGCCTATATTGATTTGTGTGTACATACACACATGTAAAAATGCCGGCATTTTTGTGACCTTTTTTATTGTATTTACTAAGGAAAAAATTTGGTGATATGAGCTGCATTACTTGGCATATATTTAACTCGGCAACTAAAAATATAAGCGGCGAACTTTAATTGTGCTATCTCAACACATACACACCCATTCTGTGCGTCTGTGTACGTACACATGTATACATATATGCATGCATGAATACATGCACTTTTTTATTTAAATGTATATGTAGTCGTGTATACACAGCCCAAAGGTGGCAAAACGGTAATTGCCACTTAAGTCATGCACACATACATATACATAGACAAATATGCACTTGTGTATCTAATATAATTAGTTTCAATATGTGAGTACGAAAGGACACAATATGAGAAAAAAAATATAAAGTTAATCACGTGTTTTTTCTCATGCAAACATACTGTAAACTTTTAAAATAATTGTATGTACACATACACATTGTTGTACATGCATGTACACACGTGTATACTAGATATGTATACACATATGCGTGCACATACGTCAAATTACTGCAAAAGTTAACTTTGCATGTTTAAATTGAAAATAAAGGCGAAAAAATGAAAAACCGGCAAAATTTGTCAACTCACCTCCATAACTATCCTACCGACGGGCTCGCCATCGGCGGTCATATCGAAGAATACTCGCGGTAAAGTACTCATTTTCGACTCCTTCGAATATTCGCGAACAAACTGAATTCCAAATTGCAACTGACCTCCGTTACTGCCAATTCGAGCTGGGGTTATAGATTTTTTAGGTAAAATGGCGGACCCAGCAAAGCGAAGTGCCGACGACTTGTGAATGTTACGAAGCAGAGTTGCACCTAAAAAAACCATCGTGTAAGTGTGCCCGCTTGTCTATCACTAACGTGCACGAGGCATTTGGAACTGTTTCTTAATCATTTCATTCCATCAACTGTTGTTATATCACAATAAGGAGGGTACAAACATTGAACCAGACTAGTTCCACGAATCAATGTTTTGCGCATGTTGCATGCGATATATTTTTAATAAAATTGAACAAAAATTGTTTATTTGCTTACAACGATATCATAATAGAGTATTTATTTGTTTTTTTTTTTTCTTGAAATTAAAACAATACAAATTAATTTGATAGCTACTTCGAAAAGAGACAATAAACGATCTTGTTCACCTGCATAAACTGATTCATTTATTATTTGTATATTTATGTTAAAGAAAATACAAATTTAAATACATTTCGTAAGAAATGCGTAACATTTTTTAATTAAAACGTACTTTTTTACTTTTAATATTTATAAATTAAAAGCTAAATATATTTAAAATTGTGTAGTATTATAGCAATGAGCAATTGAACATGTTGTAGTTATCGTTATCGATAGCGTCATATAGCATCACTTGTACCAGGGCCTCAATGCATTTCATCTTACCGCAACCACTGAATCGAGTGCAAAATACGTTAAGTTCAAAAAACATTTCGATTTTGCTGTACACTACTATTGAATTATGTTTTCCCTTCCACAATAAAAGAGCTTACTTGTGTATTTCAAATTGTTTTTGTTTTATTTATAATTTTTCACTTAATACAAAAATACTCTTAATTTCCTCTTCTCATATTCTTATTTTTTTTGTTTTTTTTTTCTTGTTATGGTATTAAATAAAAATTAAAAGCAAACAAAATGGCAACTTGCGCCAGGAAGCCAAAAATAAAGAAGCAAATTAAAAAAAAATAGTTACAACAATACTATTTATTGCCTACAGAGAAGCTCCTTGCTGAAACAAAAACAAAAATAAAAATAAAAATAAAATAAAAAGAAATTGTAATGGAGGCGAGGTGGCGGGTTTTTGGGAGGAGACAAAGTACGTTGATAAGGTTTTGAATAGCTTTCACAGCTGTATTAAATACATACACATGTATGTGTAATGCCAATGTATATCAAATACATATACATATATATATATATATGGTAAATTAATTAATTAATTAATTAAACAAAACGTACACACAGGCGGGCCATTAAGTTAAAAACAATGCTTGTTTAAATACAAAGTCAAATTTAAATTACAATTTTAAGAAAGGCAACGGTGGCTGCTTATAAAACTTGCGTTCATACAATATATAGTTATATAGTATACATAAATATATGCATATATATATTACATAAGTATATGTACACATATATATATATATATATATATATATATATATATATATATATATATATATATATATACATATTTTATCTTTTCTTTTTCGTATAGTTGTCATTCAGATGTTGTTCTTTATATAAAGTAGCTGATATATAGTAGACGTAGTTGTAAAGTTGTCAAAAAAAAAGTTTAAAATAATAATAACTGTGCATGGCTTTATAAAACTTTACTCCGAAATATCAATTGGAATGGATGTGGTAAACGTTGGCGTCTCCAGCTCCTCGTGCTTCTTCATTTTGAGACTCTGTAATGGAGGAACAGAGAGGGAGGTACTTTAGTTACAGTGCCTAGTCGCAGTTAGCGCACACACTCACCTGTTGCAGCTTATAGTGATTGATAATGTCCTGATCAGCTGGGCACGACTGTGTGAAGGCGTCCAGCTGATACATGTGGTACATGTAGCGCCACAGCGCCGTCAAGTGCGTCTGCACGAAAGCGAAAGAGAGAGAGAGTTAGCCAGAGTGATGGAAAGGAGGCAGTTAGTCATTTACCGGTATCTCAAAGTCAACAAAGTATTTGCCAGCAACGCGAATGTGCTGCAGGCGCGGCATCAGCTCGCAGTCAAAGCAGCACATGGTATCGCCCGTTAGGAAGCGAGTATTGCGATTGGCCAAATGATCATTGATCTTCCTGAGATGGGTGAGCAGCGCATTGTTCTTGGCCTCATCCTTCTTGACGAGCATCAGCTTCAACTTCACGTACAGGTTCTCGATCAGCGTGGCCACCTCCTTGTCCTGCACGAACAGATTGTAGCCACCGGGTATATGCTTCATGATGTGCCGTTCGATCTTCTCGTTCTCCAATATGGCCAAGCCGTTGTCAATCAGAATGGGCGGATGCGTCGCCTCAAAGTTGGTGCGGAAGTCTGGTGGCGGCTTCTGCATGTCCACTGTGGTCACCTTCAAGCTAATTGTCTTCAGCTCGGCCAGCAGATACAGATCCATAAAGTACTCCTGACAGAATAGGCAGGCGCCCTTGCGGCGTCCATCAATGGTCGAGGCCTGTTTAACGGTAATTAATATATTATATATATACATATTATATATATATACATATTATATATATTTTAATTGGGTCAAGTATCGTGTTGCAAACATACAAACATATGCAAGTATAAATTATCTATAATAAGTGGCGATCGCGTGCCAGGCGTTTAGCAAACAAATAAATCAAATTCATTTTAATGAAATAAGTCAACGTACAGTGCTCGCTCGATAAAGTAAACACAAATAAATTGGCACGATGTGCAAACAAATAAACAAAAAGAATTCATATCTTTGCATATATTTTTTTTTAATTTTTATATATTTATTATTATTATCTCGTCAAAGGTTCGTCAAATGGTGTTTACACTGTTGATTCAATCATGTGACATCATCATTCACAATATTATTTTACGTGATGATATACGCATGATATACGCACACACACATACATGTGAATGTCTGTGTTCAGGCTTAGATATTCTTTTGCTGCCAGGAAGTGCGCCAAGTTCCTGGCCGCCATCAGTTGGCATCCGGACGCCACGCCTGCGTGGCATTAGAGCAGAAATTGTGGGATGATGTCATCATTTTTGCTCTCAGCTTGACTTGTTGATTTATCGACAGCCGGTAATTTATATGTGCGCATACATATGTACATATGTGTGTACGTACATGCATGTGTATTTGTGATAGATAAACTCGTCTAGCTGTATGTTGTACATGTGAGTTTGTTTATGTATGTGTGTATGCAGTGCAATACAACTCCATTTACAGCGTACATTGCTTACAAGGTTGCCGGGCAGCTGCTGCCTAAAATAGAAATCTTGTAATAGTCGCCACTCGGCCAAATGTAACTGAATAAACGAACTGGCTGCGATTGCCTGACAGCAGCTAAACGCTCGTAATCAGCTGTTTTACCATTAACGCATCAATTACTTTTCCAATTGTGTTAAAATTTTTAAAAAGAACTAATTAATATGCGTTGAAATGTTAAAAACTTAATAGCTTCACATACACACAAACATGATAAAATTGATCATACATATAAATATCTATATTTATAGCTATTCACACATACACATGTATAAGTGTATGCACATGGAAAACGCATATATATAAATGTACTTGTGTGTATGCATAGCTAAAGAAAACACGCCCACGCCGCCCTCCTATTAAGCACTGATGCGTGAGCCGTTGTGGAGTGGGGAGCAGGGGAGCGTCGTCACGGGTGCGTCGTCACTCAAAGCATTTAACGCTTGGCGCTTTAACGGTTTATTTTATATTGCGGCAGAAATATTGTATATGTGCCCTGTCGCATTAGCAGCCGGTGAACGCCCAGCAATGTTATTAACTGTTTGCTGATATTTACTGATACGAGCTTGCATGTGCATGTCTGTATGGCTATGTACATATGTATGTATGTAAGTGTGTACACACATTTGTCACACATAAAATTCCCAAATGACCTGATTACTTTCTCACTTGCACTTCCAGCCATACATATGTATGTGTGTACACACTCGTGTGACTGCGGTAGAAAAGTAATTACTTTGCCATGTGAATTGCAAAATAAATTGTAAAACAAGCGCATGGGGGTTACAGCAAAGGTCAAGTTGATGAGCTTGCCGCTGCCTCCGCTCACTCTTCTTCATTCGATTGCATGCAGCTCAAAAAGATTGTAAAAATTGCAATTGCCGATCAAAAATAGAAATGACGAACGTAAAATATGCCAAAAGCGATCGTCGGCAAATGTCAAGTGGCACACAACAAGCAGCGCGTAGCAATGTCTCATAACCGAAAAAGAAAATACTAAACGCCTGCCCAAAAAGCAACAATCGCTGATCAGCAATAAAAACGTTACTTTTTAAACACATTTCATTTAGCTTGCAAATAAAAAAAATGCGGTTAATGAAAAAGAAGAAGCGTTCAGCGTCAGCCGTCTCAAAAATCTAAATGGCATCATTCACAAAGCGAGACAAACCTATTGCGTGTGGGTATGTGTGTGTGGTTTATCATCTCTTTCTTTCTGCCTCAACATTATAGCTAGAAAACATCTATGAATCTTCGATTCTTGATTCGTTAAGTTTGTTATTGTAAAAGGGCCAACGTAATTCATCAGAAATAAAAGTGAGATAAGATACAAAGTGTTAGCACGGGCAACAACAACGACGCCAACGACAACAATCATAAATAAATATGGAAAGCTCTCATAAATACTAATGCATGCTTGAATATGTATGCTTGTATTTGTGCAGTCTGTGCGTGCTGTGTTTGAGAGAGTGCGTTATTTTTGGAACCGGTTCGTGCTGACAGCTGCAGCGAGCAATATTTTATTGTCGGAGGCAATCTCCCTAAATACAGGCGAGAGAGAGAGAGAACATAAGAGATATGTCAACCTTGGGCTTGCGAGCTTTCTTGTTGCTTCTGCCCATCCAGAATGTCGCATATTTCAACACACATATCTTATCAGGGCAGCAGCGGAAGCATTGTGCCCAATAGAAACTGCACGAGCAACGGCTTCGAGTTGATGAAGTAATACCCGAAAAAAAATAAAATAATACAAATTATAATCAACTATGAGTGAAGAAAGGAACGTGAGCTTCAAGAATGCTCGCTGGCTCGTATCTTGGCCTAAATTGGTAAATGGCTAATGGGTTTTTTCTTTCTATGTTATTGTTATTGTTGTGCTTGTTCTGCCCGTCTTCGTCTTCATGTTCATGTCTTATTGTTATTATTATTTTTTTTTTTTATTTATGGCGTGCTGAGACGCTTGTCAATTTCATTTTGCGAACTTTGTGACTTAATTGCTATTTTAGTAAACATTGCAGATAAAGTACGCGGATGTTAAGTAATTTCTAAAATAAATTAGTTTTCCATTGCGAAATATATGTAAGAAGGAACACAACACAAAGACAAGCAACAATAAACGCAAGCATCGCGCGAGTTTTCGGAATTGTCAATGAAATGCATCTGCACACACGCCACCTACAAAGTCAGAAACAACAACAACAGCCACAACAGACAAGCCTCTCTTGCGTGCTTTGTTTATATGTCATGCAGCAGCGCTTTGGAGATGAACGCGTGAGTTGGATAGTGAGCGCACAAATAATGCATAATGCATTTTAAGGGAATGAGATGGATGTGGCTCATGCTCACGTCAAGTCAATAACATACATATCTGCATATGCCCATGGTATGTGTGGTATAACAATTAAATACCGAAGCAAAAAGCTCACACCTTAAGTCTGAATAGGATTTCCACATATCGATAAGTTGTCGATGCCAAACAAAGGCATTGAATTTTGGGTAAGTCTGCATCAAAGCAAGCAACAATGAGCGCAATTGTTGCCGTTGATGTTATAGATGATGCCTGTACATGATGGTATGTGTGTGTACTGTGTTTGTGTGGGCGACGACTGTGGCTGGGCCTTTGGCTTTGGCTTTGGCCAAGGAGGCGGAAAACTGCACACGAGAAAAACCTGTTTAGCGTTCAATGGTTGTGTTTTGTTGGTTTGTTGGATCTCGGAACAGCGAACACACATATGTTTTGTTTGCTGCACGCGACAAGCAGCGCACAAAGCCAGTTGGGAAGAGTGAATGCTGCTGCTTTCTTCGTCTATGCAACAAAACAACAACAAGAGGCGCAATGTATTTGGGCGCAAACCAAATTGAACTTTCACTTTTTGTTTAAACGCTGTATTTGTACATTTACGTTTATAGTTGTTTTTCCTTTGATTGCAAATGGCACGAACATGCGGTTGAGTGTGTGTGTGTGTTATGTCAAAGACGCTTCTGCTTCATTGAGAGAGTGCATTGAGTTCAACAGGTGCGCTCAGGCAGCCATCTTTCACTTTCTCTCTCAATCCAACAGGAAGCAAGGGGAAGAGGGAGGGGTAAATTGGCATACTCCATGCAGTTGGAGTTGCATTAGTCATACTTCTTTACATTATTTTTTGAAGGTGCGGCAAACACAGTATAACGTGGGCGTTTGAGGAGTGCTCCAGCTCGCATGAGGCCCTAAATAATGGCTGCCTAACTAATAAAATCAACAATGACTGTGTGCAAAGACAATTACTTTGGCAAACAAAATGTTCGAGTTGAAGTGTTGATTTCGTCTTCGTTTTGCATGACGTAGGCGCCAAGAAATTTCAAAGCCACACACACACATACACACTGACTCACTCACACAGATAGACAATGGCAATAAGAACGTGCGAGATGTCAGGCAATCGAAGTAACGAAATGCGATTAAATTTTATGTCAGATAAGAACTTATTAATTAAAACGCAAAGAAACTGCAAGAATATTTAGCAAAGCTGTTACTACGAATGCAAATTGAAGTTCGCACACATGTGCTTCTATATAGATATAGATGAGTGTGTGTGTGTTGTGCTTAGCTTGCCGAGAAGTTAAAGAGCGAAGGAGCGAGAGAGAGAGTTGAAACCAGTTTTTGCGATGCTTAGCTTAATAACAAAAACAAGAAGAACAAACAGACTGAAAGACAGACAGACATACAGACAATACAAAAGGGGGCGGCAGCGTACAATGATGATGAATAAATAAAAGACCAAAAACGAGCATAATGAATACATTCTTATACATATCATATGTATTTAAAGTGACACTGAAGCAGAGAAGAAGCACAAGGTGTCTGCGCTTATTCTTTTATTTGCAACACAACATTTTCACTTTATTGATGCACTGAAAATTTGCAAAGCGCGCATATAGAAATCTACGAAATATATATATATATGCAGACACATACACACACACACACACACACACACATATATATATATATATATATATATATATATATATATATATATATATATATATATATATATATATATATATATATATATATATATATATATGTACGTTTGTATATGTCTGCAATTGCATGTGCTTGACTAAATAACCCACCTTAATGATCAATTCGATCTCGGGCACATCATATTTAACGGTGCCGTTCGTCGTCTCCTGCTGCGGCTGTGTCTCCACTTCGGCGGCTGACATGGTTTTTCTTGTTTTTGTAAAGCTTTAGCTTTCTTGTTAACAACTTTGAAATTTACGCTCTTGCTGCGGTGTCTTCTTTTCTATATATGTTTTTTTTTTTGTTTTCGTGCGTTATCGTCGTCGTCCGCGTGACGTGCGTACGTGTTTTTCTTATGCTCTTTATTGTTGTTCTAATTTATATTTGCCAATATATGCACACACGAACACAAAACACAAATTCAAAATTCACTGTACTTAACGCCAGTACGCCAGTATATATGTGTGTAGATTGTGAATGTGTGTATTATAAAAAAATTACGTTTGCTTCCCGTTGCAAGCGATTGCGGTGTGCTGCCTGTTTGCTATAGTTACAGTATGAAATAGTGTTGGATTGTTCATATTATACGCTGGGACGTTGACATCGCTGCAATATATCGATAAGCAGCTGAGAGCAGAGTTGAGCATAGTTATCGATAGTTGGCATGCTTGTGTCTTTCTGAAATTCGTTTGTTCCGCCATGCCGGCTATCGAGCTATCGCATTAAAAAATATTTACCTAGTGTGCGGAAGCCAGCTTATTTTTCTTTTCACATTTCGTTCGTAAATTTTGAATTATTTAAGGCAATGAATTTAAACGAGCTCCTGCAACAAGCACAGCGCCTCTCAAATGAGACCCAAATGGACACAGAAATGCCGCGCGTCGATCGTACGCTCTCGCAAGTACTACAAGCCACACAGGAGTTGCATGCGCGCGTCACACAAGCCGGTACAAATGATTTGCAGGCGTGAGTTAACTGATAATGTGGTATAATATGAGAAAGAAAATTAACATTTACTGAATTGTCCCTTCCAGTCACATTCTGCTTGGCTCCAGGGGCGTCGATCTGCCAAAGCTTACACAAAAACTAGAATCCCTCAGCGCCCGCCAATCCTTCGAGCCCCTCAATCCGATTGGAGACACCGATGTGGAGGGCTACCTGAAGAACGAGCGAGAGAATGCAATAATCGCCGTGATTGAGGAGACCAATAAAAATGTAAGTGATTGTTATTGATACCCAGATCAATCATGTGATATGCATATATTCGTTTTTAATATTGTAACAGATATTTAAATCGGTTGAGCGAAACAAAATGCGCTGCATATTTGTCGAGTGGGGCGAGGAGAAGGAGCGACTGCTCAACGCATTGGTTGGGCCCAATCAGGATGACTTTCCCGAGGTGCACCGCCATATGGTGTCCACTGTTCTGCCGCAGTCCGCCCTGCCGCGCTCTCGCCTCAATCGCGTGGAGTCTATGTATGCCCAGCAGATCACATTATACAACCACGTGCACAACCAGGGCAGCCAACGCGCCAATTTGCTTAGTCAATTCACCCAAATGGTCAAGGATCCATCGAATTCCCTCGATACCCATATTCAAGAGATGTGGAGCGTATTGAACTACATGGCCTATGTGACGCCGCCCAATCGCAACGCCGAGCCCCTTAAGGTGCGCCAGAGCGGCTCGCCATTCGTGCAACAAGCGCTCATCTATCTGGAACAGTGCTACAAGCAGTATATGAACACAGTCATTCAGAAGAATCGTCTGGTTGGCCTGCGCGGCGGCATACCCAACATCTACAATACGGTCTGCTCCTATGTGACCATCACCTTTCAATCGCCGCAATCCATGGTCGGTTTGCTCGACGTCTCCGACAACCGTCCGCTTTGGCCGCTCGTCTACTATAGCCTGCGCAGCGGCGATCTGGGCGCTGCTGTAGAGTTTCTCAAGGAAGGCGGCGTTTGTCCCGATCTGGTGAAGTTGCTGCAGCATAAGCATCAGATCAAACAGAAGCAGCAACAAGCCCAGCTGCAGCAGCAGCTCCACCAGCTCGGCGAACAGGAGCGTCCCAATGCCAAGCTGGAGGGGCAACTCAAGCTCGAATACAGCAACAAGCTGCGCGTCTGCACGGATCCATTCAAAAAGGCGGTATGCAGAGCGCTATTTAGATATAGCTGGGGTTACTATTTATAATTTTATTGTCGGTGATTTGCAGGTCTATGCCATTGTCTTGGCCTGCGATCCGAATGAGCCACACCAGGAGGTGGTGCGCACCATTGACGACTTCCTTTGGATGCAGCTAAGCGTTCTCAGCACTGAGGAACGCCTCGACTATAACGTCGAGCGTCTTAGTTACGGCGGCCTGCAGTCGCTCATATTGGAAAAGTATGGCGAGAATTATTTCAATGCGCGCGAGAAGGCGCCGCTCTACTTCCAGGTGCTCGTCCTCACTGGACAGTTCGAGGCAGCCATTGAGTTTCTGGCGCGCACCGATGTAAATCGTCCGCATGCCGTTCACATGGCCATTGCCCTTAACGAGCAGTATATGCTGGCCACACCCAACGACGTGCAGAAGCCGCTGCTCTCCGCCGAAAAATCCGATCCGCCGCCCATGCGTCGTCTCAACTTGGCGCGCCTCATCATCATGTACACGAAGGGCTTCGAGCAAACGGACACCGTCGAGGCTGTCCAATACTATTACCTATTGCGGAACTTAAAGGCCGCCGACGGGCGCAATCTGATGATGTCCTGCTTCTGCGATATGCTCGTCGAGAATTGTGATGATAAAATGTTGCTCTTGGTATTCGGCTCGCCCGATCCCTGTGATCCATGGCGTTACATTGGGTATGCAGCTGTTGCCTTTCGTCGTAACCAGCACAATGTGTTTCATGTTCCGTCTCCATTGCAGCGGCGTCTTTTCCCAGTTCTCCAACATGGAGCACGACAAGTACAGCCTGGCCGGGATGGTGGGCGACGAGTTGGCGCATCGCACCAAGTTCGAGGCGGCTATACGTCTCTACTTTATTGGCGGACAGATAGACAAGGCCTTGCGCTTGCTCTGCTCGCTGCTCACCCAGGTGGTGCATCAGTCTTCACAAAAGGGCAGCATTCGAGAGCAGCTGGTGGTGGTATCGGAGCGCATGAATCAGTCACTGAGCCGACGCAAAACGGACGTTGATGAGCATGTGATGCGCACATATAAGATGCTATCAGAGCTATTGAAGTTCTTCGACTATTACCACGCGGGAGAATCCCGTCTGGCTATTGAGGTTCTCACCAAGAATCACATAACACCCAACAGCTGTGCCGAGGTGGACGAATGCGTTAGCAATCTAAAGCTGGTTGGATCCGATATTATGAAGGTGCTGCCCGATGTGCTGCTGGCCGCCATGGATCTAATCTATGGTCAGTACCTGGAGATGAAGGCCGGTGCCAATGTGAGTGGCAACAGCCACAACAGCAGCAGCGCCGGCCCAATCGACGACCAAGTTGGCGACCCCAAGGAGGAGCGACTCAGGTATTTGCGCCAACGTGCCAAGGCACTGACCAATATGGCTGCCACACTGCCCTATCGCATGCCCTCGGACACCAACAATCGCCTCGTCCAGCTTGAGATTCTGATGCATTGAAGCAACGAAGGAGAAATGGGGAATAACCGAAGGGGCGGGAAAACTATTGTAGTTAACTGATTTGTTCGTTTGTATTTATGAAATTTAGTTCTGTTTTATTGAGAAGATATCGGTTATTGCAAAAATGGAAATATGCGTTGTATATTTACTGTATATATATATATATATATATATATATGTATGATGTATGTCTGTATATATACTATATATATATATATATATATATTATAGTTATTTTGTGCGTTTAGTGGCTATCGTCAGTCGAATGGGTCTTCGGCTCAGCCCATATACTGATAGGATGCACAGACGGGCTCCTGGTGGCGCGTGTGCGGCGACGATTGCAACGCGAGCCGCTGCAGGTGGCAGCCGCGGCAGAGCAAGCGCCCTTCCAACGGATAGCAACGCTTATCCGGCTCATCGGTCAGCTGCATGCCGCACTCCTCGCATATGTAGCAGTCGACATGGAAGTCCTTGTCCATGGACACCACGCGCACGGTCTCATCGGTGCCCTCAACGGGTGTGATGCCTGCAGCAAAGTATACAATTAGCTAAGATTGTTGGCCTATATTATATATATATATCTGTATAGGAGCGCACCTTTGCCGCAGCTGGCGCACTTGGGCGCAAACATGCGATGGTAGTCATTGACGCAGTAAATCTTATGGTCCACATCCACTGTGAAGGGCACGCCGTCCAAGCACTCATTGCAGATGCAGCAGCGAAAGCAGCCTGGATGATATGACTTGCCCATGGCTTGCAGTATCTGAAAGCCAAAAACAAATCAGAGCAAGATGGATAGAGAGACGGAGACGGAGTACGCACCATTTCCATGATCAGGTGGCCACAAATGGCGCACTTCTCAGCCGTCTGCTGAAAGCCCGAATACTGCAGGGGCGAAAAAAAGAAAGAGAAAGAGAGAGAGGAGTAGGATTAGGAGCGAGTGAGAGATCTCTAAAAGGTAGCAGCTACCATGTAGTCCTCCTCGCAGTAGACACGACCGTGCACATTGTAGAAAGCCTTGCCGCGCAGCGCCCGGCCACAGGAGCAGCAGATGAAGCAGTTCGTGTGATAGAGATTGCCCATGGCTTGGCAGGCCTGGCCGGCGCCCTTCACCTTCTCGCCGCAGGTGTGACAAATGCCTGTAACGAGATGAATGGAGACTCAATTCATGCAAGTCGAACTTGGCTTCAGGTCTCTGGGCTACGCACCAAAATACTCGCCATGCTCCTCGCTCTGCTCGATCTCCTCCTCCAGCTGGCGCGTCAGTTCCTCGATCTTGCGCTGCGCCTCCGTCGGACCAGCCGGACGCGGCGGAGTCACGCTATACGGCAGCAAGTTCTTTGTCAGACCTGTTCGATGGGCGAAATACAGGAAACATTCAATATGTGCAACAGCAGCAAAGCTTAGCAATTGGGTTAGACGAAAGGCATACCTCGTTTGGGCCGCAAGGCGGCTGTGCAAGCATTGTTAAAAGGAGTATAAGATAAGGATTAGGATTAGCATGTTGTACAGACATAATATTATAGTATAGCCTAGGCAGGGGAAACAAACTGCCGCTGGTCTCTCTTGGTTAATTAGGCTACCTAAGAATGTTTGAGCCAGTAAAACGTTTATGAAAGCTGAAATGGCATGTGCTTTCTCTCTCTCTCTCACCCTCTAACTGGCTTGAAAGAATCTAATGCAGACTCTTCTGTTTGAATTGTCAGTCTAACACTTTCAATAGCTCTCTTTATCCTTTATTCTTTAGAAGCTTGCTGAGCCAGTAAAACGTTTATGAAAGTTGAAATGGCATGCGCGCTGTCTCTCTCTCTCTCTCCCTCTTTCTCTGTCTTGAGAGATAATGCAAGGCACATTGAATAGCTCCCTTTATCCTATATCAACTCGCTGAGCCAGTAAAACGTTTATTAAGTGCTAAATGCTATGCAGCTGCTAGAGAGATGGAGCTTAGGCTCTTCTCTGTTGGTGCGAGCTGCTCTAAAGAAGAAATTTAAGAAATGAAAAACTCCGCAAAATATTTATAAAAAAAAGTCATGAAAAGAGACAGAAAGTAACTTCGACTTCTCTTGCAGTTAGTAAAACATTTGCTCCCTACGAAAACCTACTAGAAAAGTGATAAGCCAGTAAAACGTTTATGAAAACAGAAATATGAATATGCTCGCGAGAGAGAGAGTGAGATAGAGGCAGGCAAAGCAGCTGGCACTCTCTGCGCTCCTCTCCTCTCTTCCAGTTGTCCATACGCGCAGCTGATAAGAGTTAGTCACATTTTCTGTATGCACACAGCTGGGGCAAATCGCATGTCCGATGTGCACATGGATTAGTCATAGCTGCATCGTTTGCACACAGAGGTACAGAAGGTTTTCACAACTTCGGCACTTACCTGTGCTGCTCTGCGAGGGCGTTGGCGATGTGGCCACTGCGAGTGGCGCTGTTGTTGCAATGGGCGTGGCGCGCAGCTGCAAGGGTTGCATCTGCGCGGCAGCGGACGTCGTTGCCGTTGTCGTTTGTGTCGCGGCCGTTGTCAGCGGCAACGGCGGCGGCGGCAACGGGGGCTGCGGGCTGACCGCAGTCAGTCGCCCGTTGTTGTGGCTGGGGCTGCGGCTCTTGACGGCGCTGTTGGCGGTGCTGCTGCGATGCAGATTGGCTGTCATGCAGACGTAGTCGGAGCTGTTGATGTCCTCAATGTAGTTGGGATTGACGGACACATTGATGCCCACCTGCTGCTGCTGCTGCTGCTGTTGCTGCTTGATGGGCGTGTGCTGTTGCAGCTGCAGCTTGGCCAGTGGCGTTGGCGCTGGCGAGGCCAGCGGGCTCAAATGGCTGGGCAGCGATAGATTTCGATAGCGCTGCGTGGGCGAGCCCAAAGCGGCCGCGGCGGCATTGGATGAGCTGTTGTTGCTGCTGCTGCGCTGATGCAGCGGCGAGGGTAACATCATCGCATTCAGCTCCATTTGGTTTGCTGTGGGCGTGGGCGTGGCCATCTCCGTGTGCTGATACATGGTGGCCGTGGCCGGCGATGCTTGCGGCTGTGCACGCTGCCCGGAATGGGGTATAATATTCTCATAGATGGGGGCCACGGCTGACAGCTCCTCGATGGGTTGATGGTTATGCTTTTGAGGCGCTTCCGGCACGGGCGTATGTGCAAAACGTCCGCCCCCAATCGGCTGCATCAGTAGATAATCATTCAGCATGACGCTCTGCCGACTCGCCGGACTCTGCGGCTGTGCACGTCGCTGGTTCGTATCGAATTGACCATAAAATTCGAGATTCTCGTAGACCGGCGAATGCTTCTGCGGCACAATGCGCTGCCCCAGCACCTGAGCTGTGGGCGCATATATAAGCGGTGACTGACTGTTGCTGCCATTGCCCAACATGATGGGCTCCACGCCGGGCTTGGGTATTGCAGTGGCGTACTTCGAGGCAGCTATTATATTGCCGCGCTCATATAGCTTGTAATCTTCGCTGTTGGGCAGTCGCTGCTGCTGCTGTTGGTGGTGCTGCTGCTGTTGCTGCGGTTGCTGCGGAGCATCGTGCATAAAATTCTCAAAGGCGCCGGGTGAGCGCTGATAACTGCCGCCAATGTGCAGCCGCTGCATGAGCGTCTCGTACTCGGAATCGCCGGCTCCACTCCCCACCGCGGCGCTGGTGGCATTTCGATGCGTTCGCTGGGTGGTCATTATGCACACATATACATACACGCACACATACACCTATGCGTGTGAGTCGACAGAGAGCGTTGAGCGATGATGACTTGTTTCGCTCACTGTGTTTTTGCTCGTTTGAGGTTTTCTTACGAATCTCCCGTCTGTTTCGACGCTGCCAATTTGTGTGCGATTTATCAGCTTTGTGACACCATCATTTTTTATTCAGTTTTTTTGTGTGTTTAATTTTGTTGAAAACAAAGACAAGTTGCAGAGAAGAATCTCTGAGCCACAATAACACAGGCACGCACAAATGTCTATGTATGTGTTGGTATTGTTGATCTTATATCGATATATCGATACATTTCATTTTAAGTTCTAGTATCGTTGCGTATCGATAGGCTTATGGGCGTTCAAGCGCAAATGCCAGTGCACTTTAAATCATGTGAAAATATGGCAGTATTGCTTGAAGTGTTTGAAATTTAATAGCTTAAACGATTCAATTGGCAACATCTATTAATTAGTGACAATTACTTAAAACCTGATTTATGGCTCATTGTAATGATGTTAATATAACTTTCTGAACTTACAATTGATGAAAAGTTGAATTTGTATTTAGTTTAATTGGAAATCAACAGCACTACTCGTTGCGAAAAATAAGAAACTGACAATAGATATGCCAACGTGCGCTAGATGACGCCAGCAGTGATTGAATTGTTAACTTTTAAATTTCTTTAATACTTCAAATTAGAGTTTTTTAACATGTAAGAATAAAACATTCAACTTTCAGTAATTTGCAGTTTGCTTTATTTAGAGTTACACATCATATACATTTTTTGATTTAAGCACAATAATTATCTAACTTAATAGCAATGCAGCGGCAACACAAGCAGCGCAGAAAAAAACATTGTCTTTAATATATACGACAACAAACGCTAGATGGCGCGAACGCATTTGAATTGGTTTCTGTTGGTATAATAAATGATCAAATATTCAGTATTTCCCAATTCTCTTTATTTATAGTTTACACTTTAGAAAGATTTTATATTTTTTTTTAATATAATTTTGTCTAATTTAATCGCAATGCAGCAGCAACACCAGTACCAGTGCAGAAAATTGGCATCTACCTACAACGAATATAATTATACGTTTAACATATTTTGCAAAGAACCTTCAGATTACTCGATGCACGTGCTGGGCATCGTTGTTACCGCTGCTGCCAACTAATGCCCTGTATATAAGTTTGTTACATGCACTCATGTTTGTTGAATTTTGGTCTGTTGGATTAATATAAAGGATTATTAGAAGAGGAAACGTTATTATGCATACGTACATAATAAACGTTAATGTATATAATAATATTAGCAAGTATATAGCGTTTGCTTTTTATATCGAAGTTATTTCTTATTTTCTTCAGTGTCTTTCAGATGACAGGTCTGATTCACTTTGAATATGTTAGAGAGTTCATCCAGCAAGGTCTCATAGCGATAAGCAACGCGGATTTCTGGAACATTCGTGCGAGTGATGTCGTTTCCGTTGATGCCATCCTCATAGTAGTTGGGACCTAGCCACTGCTGCTTGATCTGTGCCAGAAAGAAACGGTGTTAGCCAAAGCAGTGCAAACATTTCAGGCCTTCTACTCACGTTATGAGGAAAGCCGCTCATCATTACGCTGTTGCGTGCCAGCTCGCACATGTCACAGGAGCTGAGTTTCCACACCTGCGCCGCAATGCTGTACTCTTCCATGAGCGGTTCCTGAAATGATAAATCATAATAAATTCTAGGACACATTTGTATTTCGACTCTCCTGTTCACGTACCTTGGTGAAGTGAAACTGCAGCGGATCATCGGTAGATAGTGAGATAATAAGTCCACGAGCCAAGTACTCTGGCAGTGGATTGCGATGATAGTTGAGAAACAGAGAATTGTTAGACAGTGGCGACATAGCAATGCCAATTTGGGTCAAGTAATAGAGGTACTGCAGCACCGGCACCTTGCGCAGCAGAAGGCCGTGCGAAATATTCTCAGCCATTAGATACCCACAGACTAGATGCTGCACAGGTCCAGCCTCCCCGCAATGAGGTCGTAGCACAAAGGTGTTAAGACCGCGCTGCCTGAAAATGTTAAAGATTTTTGGCATAAATATTGAGAGTTCACAACAGACTTTAGCATGCCAGCGGCATCAACTCACTTTCTAAACTTGTTAAGCACCGTCATATTGGCGTACATGTAATATATGTAGTAAGCATACGGCGGATTATCCTCGTACGTCCATTCTTCGGGCCTGGGCACGTCGTTGTCGAACAGCGGATTCTCCGGCTTGGACTCATCATCCACGGAATCGAAACCAATCACGTAATTTAAAAAACGATGCAAATTTGGATTTTCACTTGGCTTGTTGGTCGCCTCGAATAGCGGTAAAAAAATGTTATTCATTATCTCCTGGAATGACGACATCATCTTGTTCGACTTGAAGATATCAAAGAGCCTTGGTATTTGTATTAACCAACGTATGTTCGAGCTATAGACATCATTGTCGATGGCCCATTTGGCAAGTTTATTCCACTCATCAGGCGACTTGCCATAAATGGAGAGACGCAGCTCTGCATTCTGATATTTCGATTCTTCCAAATCGAAAGCCACTTCCTAAGTGTATAATTATATAAAAAAAAATATATAAATATATGAATAATATATAGTTCTCAGCGCCTACCTTTATAATTTGTGCAAAGTATTTGCCATTCAAAAAATTGTCCGTCTTGAGGAAGACCTCCCGTAGGCGCGATTCACCAATGGGATTGTATTTGGAATTAAATTTATCGAAGCGATGGAACGTATTGCGATCGGCATGAACATCAAGCATATCAACGGTTAGATCGTATGTGGTAAGATTCATCGATTGAAAGACTTGGGCCAATGTCATCGGCTGGCCGTTCGTATGGGTAACCACCTCGTTGGCATTGTTCTTCAAAGTCTTCTTGATGAAGCGTAGCAAATGCTTTTGATTCATACAGGACGCTGCATGTATATGCGTGTCCACCTTTCTAGTGTTGTAAAAGTCCCGATGCGGAACGGCCTTCTGGGCGGCCAACTCACGTAGTTCGTTCAATAACACGTGCATCTGGTACTTGGACGACAAATAACAAAGGCGACGGTAGCAAAATGATTTCCTATCGAATACAAGAAGAAGGATGTTCAATCAATTTAAGATTAGGCCAACAGCCATAGGTGGACGTTGGGTGCACTCACAAGGGTCCATCAGCTATCATATTACACATGACCTGCATGTCGTTCACAAATTGATTCATATCCGGATAAGTGAAGTCCAGTTCGCTCGTGCATTCCTGCAAAGGAAATCAACACACAATAAATACGGATGAAAGAGTGCGGATCTCTGGCGAACTTACCTTATCGTTGTAGATATGAAAGACGCCATTCAGTGGCTTAATGAAATACGATTCATCTGGTACAAACTCAACGTCCCAGGCGTGTCTGGACCTGAGCGGCGCCGGCAGCGTGTGGTGTTCTGCGCGAGTGGTTTATGCAATAAATTTTTACAAGTATTCATATTGAGTACGGTAGTAGTGTTGGCAAATGCTACAAATTATTTCGATTAATATGTCAAACTAACGGTACTTCAACTACAAATGCGCTACACACAAATTGTTCTTGTTGTTTGCTGTGTGCGTGTGAAGAACTTTTGTTGCTGCTCAATAATTATTGTCAGATATATATATATATATATATATATGTTAACAAATACGAAAACATTTAAATAATACACTGTTTGGCTGAGATAAGTGAACAGATAATCCAAAGACTGTTTCTTATCTCTAAGTCAATGCCCCACAATTAGCCAGTTGGTGCGTAAAAAGTTCAATTCGGATTAATGTGCATTAGTTGCTGTTAGCAATTTAATTTCTTCTTGTTTTGTTTTAAATCATTTCTGATCTTGATCTACAAATTAAATTTGCAACTGTTTACTTAAGTGCTTTAAGTGGGGTTTTCAAACTCGGCTGAGGTAAGCGATACACTCTACTGCAGGCAGACAGAACACAAAGAGAGAGGCGTAAGAGAGCGAGAGAGACAGAGTGAATAAGAATTGTTAGCAAAGTCAAAAATACATTGGGTAGAAAGAGACAGAAACATTTGGGTGCATAAATACAATACGACAAAAAGCATAGGCAAATCTTCGAAAACAATTGGCAATCGTGACAAAGCCTAAATGCTACGGCACGCGCTTGGACACTCCAGAGAGCGAGCGCAAAAATAGAAACATAAACAGAGCGAGCGATTAGCATAAGGAACTAAAAGAGCATAAAACGGTATGTATGTATATGTGTGTGTATGTGCGAGCGTGAGTGAGAGTAAATATTTGATCAGTCAACAAAAAGAAGCAATAGTGGTTTGGGGATGTGAGTGAGAGGGAGAGAGAAAGAGTGGGAAGAAAAGCAGGAAAGCAACAAAAGAACTTAACAATTCAATCCGAACACGGAAGCAGCCGCGACCGAATTACCTGTATATTTCGCCATACTCTGTTTGCGAATTATGTCTATAAAAAATGAAATAAAAATAATATATATATAGAAAATCTTTATACAAAATCAAAAATAAGAAAGAAAAGAAAGGAAAAAGTCCACTGAGACAAAATAAAAAGAATTGAAGACAAGCAAGACCTGAGCAAAGAGAGTAGAGTAGGTGGGCCGGACTCAAGAAATCATAGATAAACATAGGTAAATGAGAAACTTACTAAACGCAATAGAAGAAGACGTGACACGAATAATGTGACTGCAGCTAGCGAGCGAGATATACAAAAGAAAGAGACAAATATACATTTATATGAGACTATATGCATATTTGGAAAGAGAGAGAGAGAGAGAGAGACATATATAATGGGAGAGAGAGAAAGATATTTATAAAGAGAGCTGGTTGAGGTTGTTAAGGTAGCAAGGTAGTTCTAGCTGAAAACAAGAGAATAAAGAGCTTTACGCGTTCCTAGCGCATGGTCAACTTAATAACTGTAATCTATATACATAAAGTTAACGGCAAAAGATTAAAAAAAAAACAATGAAACTATCCATTTGTATTATACATGGCATACACAGCATATGCAGACATATTTGTTATATGCATGGTTTCATGGTGCTATACAACACTGGCAGAACTCTCTACTACATATGGCTTTTGGGGTGACCATACCGACGCTTAATCGGCTAGACCAATTGTTGCTGATACGGATGCTGGTTTCGTTCGTATGCGATTTGGACTTACCCGAAACAGATTTGACTGGCATATTCTCGTAGCGATCCTTGAGACTCACCGTCTTGAGGAACCGAGCTGTAGTCGTTGGAAACGATTGATCCGATACTTCCATGTAGTGGGCACGCAGCTTGAGTGCTTCGATAAGGAGAGTCGATGCACGCTCCAGATCTTCTAGCGGTACACCGCTCGTATCCTCGCCGGATACGGAAACACGCTGAAAATTAATGTCTGCATCTGTGATACGCTTATGTTCCGTCTCTTCTGGCTGATCCTCTGAATCAGAGCTACTGCGTCGCGGCGATGCTTGAATCGGCGCAGCCGAACGGAAACCGGTCGATTGCCTAGGTGAAACGGTGTAAAGGAAAACACGTCAGACAAATTTCAATAAAGACTTGGCCAGCCGGACTGCACCATTGCTCCTCATCGGGCTGATACTCGTAATGGCGACAGAAGCTATAGCTATCATCCGCGAAAGACATGCTGCTCCTGACCAATGCACCTGGCGAATGGCCCACTATCGAGCTGACTTAGCCAACTTCCGAAAGTTGCCAAAGTTTACAGTTGCCCAATGATCGATTGAGCGATTAATTTATAGACCCTGCCCGCCCGATATATACACTTTGGACAGCAGCACGCAATGGCAACCAATCCAACCACCCACACACCTGGTTTGTTTGCCAAAAAATAATTATGAATACCCTGACCGGTCGGGTCGGGTAGGGTCGGGCTGGGTTGCTCTTAAGCGCCTAACGCCCAGCTCGAAAGAACATTAATCATTTCGATGCGTCAATTGAGAGGGTTCTTCCTGACCCCGTGTACGTTATGAAAGCTAATAACCCTATATCTCCTCTTCTATCTGTACAACAAAAGCAATGGCAACGGCAACGGCAACGGAAGGAACTTCAAGTGCAATTCTGAAGTTCGCAACTTTCGACGCTTGGCGTGTGACACGAACACGAACACGAATTGAAAGCAAAGTGCCTGGATGATTGGATGATTGCGCGTCCTCAATGTCAGCGTAGGTCGTGAAGGTACTCCAAAAAAAAGGGCAAAAAGCGTTCCGATGGCAACCGGGGCTTTGTGGGTTAAGGGCTTTGAGCAACGGCACCCGAAAACGCGTTGCGACTTTGTCGATGCGCCCTTCCAAGTTATATGGATGCACAAATTGTACTGAATGTGACGGCATCCAAAATTTAAATTGTGGCTAACAGCAGTGCCCGTTGGTGCTGCCAGTGGTGGTTGTGGTTGTGCTGGTGGTGGTTTCATCATTATGCCATAAGCCGCGCTGTTGACGCGGTCGCATTGCTGGCCATCGCCTAATGCAGTCCCATTCAAAATCAAAACGTGTCCAACGCTGTTGTCGTCTCTGCTTTGGCACCTGCTTGGCCCGCACGACCCATTCGCTAAAGAACCCAGTTCTCCGCTTCTCTCGCCCACTACCTCACCTCCTCCAAGCCCCTTGCCCCCTGCCCCCTGCCCCCAGCCGGCCATGACCAAGTAGCTGTCCCCGACTAGTCGCTTGGATTAGCTGAGGGTCCAAAAACAATGTGAACTTGATAGCTAGAGAATACACGACTCTTAGAATATCCGACGACAGAATACCCTAACTTTAGCATAGACCAAGGAATTGTCTGGCGGGTATAGCTAAAGAGTAGACCCTAACACCATAGCAGCTCATTGATCTGACTCAGATAATAGATCAACTACATCATATGATATAGAGAGAGAGATGGTTAGATCTCTTTAATCTTTAAATTAGAATAGCTCAAGACAAGTGCTCAATTGACATCAATTGGAGTTATAGAAACAATGATACTTTGTTTCAGCATTTAAGAAGATAGCACCGATGTTTTGAGCAGCTAGCATAATCGATGAGCAACTCAAGACACCTGTTGCAAGGTTGCAATTACAGTGCATTCAGAGCGTTCACTTTGCTGTTGTTGTCGTTCATTACGAGGCTTTTGAAATGTTAGTTAGAATAGAGAATTGTATGCGTGGAGCTACATAGCTAGGCAGAGCGACCCAGAGTATTGTATATAGTCAAAATGTAGTTTATATAAATATATAAAAATATAGTATATATTTTATAAGACAGAAGATGCCAGTTACAATATAGAAGATGGTATAGAATAGAAGAATGGAAGATAGAAAATGCGAAATAGAACATAGAAGACGGACGTAAGACAATAGAAGATAAAGGAAAAAGATGGATGGATAAAAGGTAGATGGATGATAGAAGGTAGAAAATGAAGGGTACAAGTTCATTTTCTATAGATAGAATAGAAGACGGAATATGCAAGAAACAATATAGAATATAGTAGGACGACAAAAATATAGAAAATAGATAATACAAGTTACAAGATAGAATATGAAAAATAGAGGATCGTGAAAAGAAAGTTATATTAAATATAAAAACTGGAGAATAGAAGAAGGAAGATGCAAGTTAGAAGATAGAAGATGGCAGAAAGGCTAGAGAAGATGGAGGATAGAAAATATAAGATGGACGATAGAAGTTGTGGAATAGTAGATGGAAGAATATGGAGATTAAAAGATGGAAGATGCTAGATATAAGATAGAGAATACAAGTTAGAAGATGACAGAGACAACATAAAAGATAGAGGATAGAAGTTCTAACGTTTTCAACTGGTTTTGAAATCGATTTGTGCTTGATCTATGGCTACATTAATCTTATGGGGCCATCTTTTGATGCACATATATATATATAACAGATTTAGCACTATCTGATTCGTATTATTAATGCGATCTAAATTTAGTTTTTGTAATTATGTAATTATTGTTTACTTAACGAATGTTTCGATTCGCTTACGAATAGGGTTTTGTACTCACTTCTCATTTAGCAACCGCTGTATTTGCAATTTCTTCTCAATCTGTTCAATTGGAAACTGAGGTACTTCGTATGGTGCCGAAATTTCATTACTTAGCTCATTGTCCGCCTCTGGCTTATCAGCGTCTGACGAGTCGATCATATCGCCTGTAAAATACAACAAATTGACAGTTAATTGATGCTTTATACATATTATTTTTCTATACTATATTTTATGATTATATATATATTTAATGTGTCTATATATTGAACCTACAAATCGTTTCGACTGTCTCAAACTCTGCTTTGATGCCGTTTTTACTTTTCATGCTCTTCGACTCCATGATATTGGTGCCAAAGAGCTTTGCATCCACTTGCATACGATGTACACTGTCCATCCGATTAAAGTTCATAGCGAATAAGCGCGAGAGGGACGAACTAAGGGGGCGGCGGTAGCTCTCTCTCTGAATTGAGTTTGTTCGTCGTTCCCGCAACGCTTGTAACCTGAACGAGCGCTGACGCTTTAATGACCAAACCCCGAGCCGAGAAACTCTCGACTGCGACTCGACTACGACTCGAAGCGATGCCTGACAGCCGACGGCTGTCGCTGTTGCTGCTGCTCTTGTTGCTGCTATTTTCCTTTTTTTTCGAAAACAGTAAATTTCGATTCGGATTCACGATTTTACAAAATTCGAATACAAATCACAAAAGAAGCAGCTCGAAAACAAATAATAAAACAGCTCGAAAGGCAGCTCAAATAGCTGACGGCGATAATGAAAATCGAGTGGGAGCCATACCGAACTATCAATACGCTGCAAGATCAGAGCGAATGTGACTCTTGCCAATTAATATGGATGAGTTGATGAATTGATTTGTCAACAAAATATTGCCTACTTTGAGAAAAACTAAAATGCTGAACTCAAATGAACTAACATAAAACTATATAAATATATATATATATATATATATATATATCTATATCTATATCTATATCTACGTATCTACAATCCATTTATCATATAAATATTCATATAAATATATAGCTACATCAAACAACCTGCCAAATCAGATGACTAAGTAACGCTACCCTTTAGATAGTGCAGACAGAGCTATCTCGGTCTGTTTAGATGTGGGAAATCAATAGCAGTCCAGACGTGCCCAAAACAAACCTACGCTCTAGTAGCGTCCCGCTGCTCGACATGGGCATAGACATAGTTACAGAGCTGGCGGCAAGTTGAAGAGATAGTTGTCCGCAAGATGAGAGATGACAGGCATCAACTTTCTTGTCTTGTCTGGCCTTTGAGGTGGGCGCTAGACATTCAACACTATGCTATATGGTAATTGGTAACGTGGGCTTGTGCTCATGCAAATTTGTATAGCTGCTCTTAGATAACCATGCTAAATTTTAAAATATTAAATTCATAAAAAATCTTTTGAAATTCGTAGAGAAACTGCTTGGCAACGGTTTCGCACAATTCAGTCTTTGACTGCCTGCAAGCTGTATATGATGCGCCTGTTGCAGCTAAAAGCTAATTCTATGTGAAGTTTCATAGCAATTAGAAATTGACAGACATGCGAATTGACATATTTCGGCGAATAATTGAAGCTCTGCCCTTAAAGCTTTACAAATATTGTTGCTAAGTGATGACACCCCATGTAAGTGCATCTTTACAAGCTGTAGAATACATATACATATATATATATATATATATATATAGACGTATATATTTATATATAGTTAGCTAGTAGGTAGTAGTTTAACTACATGCAATTAGCTGTCATCAACAGCGTTTGCACTTAGGCCCAATGAATGAATTCGTTTGTAGTGCAGTGTTGCATCAAACAGGTGCTGCTACTGCCTCGTTCGTGTGCGTGTGCGTGTGCGTGTGGGCGCGTGCAAACAGTTGGCCATTGACCAGACTGAGCGAGGTTTGCATGGAGCTGGATTGTCGCCTGTTCGCAGCGATGTGAGACGTGAGATTTGCGGATCACACTTACAATTGCATTTGATTGGAATCGTTGTGCCGCGTGGGCAGTTTGTTATTGCGGTTCTGTCTTTGATGCTTGGTAAGTTGTTGCGTCGCGGAACTGCGGGCAGAACGTCCTTGCTGGAATCGGCGATCACATCTTCGAATGAATCGGTGTCCTGGGTAGTGCGATCGACACCATCGCTGTTGCCGATAATGCCGCGGTATGCCATCTTGTTCTGCAGCAGGCGCTTGCCACAGGCAACGCAACGCCAGGAATGCAGCACTTTAGTAGTTATGCCTGCACCAACTTGCGGCTGACAACGGTTGGACAGAATGTGGGGCCCCTTGGCAAAAATGCAGCGTGCCCCAATTGCTTTGGAGGCTCCTATTTCGTTACAGTTATTTCGGTACCATTTAGATTTTCATTGATGTTGCCGCAAAAAAAAAATTTTATATAAGATATAAATTTGCTTTTTCTCTCAACATACAATTTATAAGGTTGCTCTCTCTCGCTCTCGCTCTCCCTCTCTCTCTCTCTCTCACTCTCACTCTCTCGGTCCTCTCTGTGTCTAGAATTTTCGCTTCACCGGTTAAAGTTGTGCGTTGTCCTCCGATTCACTTAATATTTTCTTATCTATATTTATATATATATATATATATATCTGTATATATGGCAATATTTATCACTGATCGTTCACTGATCACTCGAGTTGATGCTGCAACTGTTTTGTCTAGGAGACAACAACGCAATAAGCACATCTACGCGCTAATTTCACTTTTGGATATGTTCTTTGTTTTTTTTTTGCTCCTCTGTCAAATGGTTGGCAGTTGTTGTTCACTGCCAGACGATTTCATCCAAAGTTTATATATCGGCTAAAGTTTTAGTCGGCGTTAATGAGAGAGCCAAATGCAAGTGCAGAGCTTTCGCTCAGCTAGCTCTCTCCCTCTCTCTTTCTCTCGGAAAAGCTTTGCGGCTTTTCCCCTTATTGTTGATAGCATGTTATTTTTTGGATCAACATATATATGAGTATATATATATATATATATATATATATATATTGATATATCCAGCAGAGCAAGGCGTTGAGCTGATCGTGCGCAAAATATGTTGCGCTACAATAGACTTGCCAAGGTATATTAGTTCCAGCTATATCTATATGTCTATAGAGATCTAATCTATTCACTTGCTAAAGAACGTGTCGATAGCAAAATCTAATCAATTGCCATAGAAAATGGAATTTCGATTAAAGATATCGATAATCGACAGTCGACAATCGACAATCTTTTATATCGAATAGAAAACATGTCATAGCTGGAGGGCCATTAATTAGATTGATAACTGGGCAATTGTTGTCGACTCGCAATAAACTAAAAGATAGCGTTTTGGTCCCAAGAATCGTAGTGCTGAGGGACCGTGTCTAGCTAACATTTCGAGTGTCGGTAATTTTCCCTTTGCCACACACTCACAGATCGCAATCAGTGCTAATGGCCCAAACACAACTAGCGTTCATTGTGACTAGTGGAGAACAATGTGTGTGTGTGTGTGTGTGGAGTGGCGTCGTTGTTGAGAAGTCAAATTTGATAAACTGTTTGCATATGACAACAAGTCTATCAAAATTAGCAACCCGATGATAACGAGCGCTACGTCGCAACGAACTGTGCCGCCTCAAACCTGATGGCTCTATAAGTCAAGCAATACAGCGTCAAAATTGCAAGTAATCGCGGTTCATTAGCCCAATTTCGTTTTTGGCCAGCCAATGCAAACAGTCGATATAATATACCTTAAGAGAATATTTATAAATATAATATATATATATATAATACAATAATCGAAGTTATTTCCCGCTTGCGGCAACCCAATCAAATCTCTTTGGCAAAGTCAAGCTGCGGCAACTCCATTGAAGTTTCCGAATCGAAATTTATTGGCTATTAATAGATTATTGATGTAAATTGATACAAGATCAATAACCTTACTTGAGTGCTTGGGAAGTGCAAGTACTTTAGCTGGCAGTGTCCGACTCGCAGATACCTGAACTCAAACGGTTGTTGCGCTAACCAAATTTGCGTATATTTCAGATGAATTTAGATAACAAATTTTGGATATTATCTAAATAGCACGTTCCTTGAATTCATGAGAATCGAGTAGGCAACAAATATTTAACTTAACCAGAATTTACCCGAACTAAATGCAGGTAAGCAAAAAGTTTAGAAGAATTAAGCTAGTTCAGAGTCTAAATGCGCATTCCCAGTGAGAATCGCGAAGAAGTGCAGGAAATAATATGCATTTCTATGCTAATTACACTGCACATTCCTAGCCGACATTTAAATAATACTCTGGACAATTTATGGCTATAGTTTACTACTAGCGCAATTACAAGCAATTTGCAATTTGCACGAATTGTTTTCTGGTCGCGTACAGACGCCTAAATGCTTTTCTGATAGCTCAGAGTCTAGATTGGCTGTTAGATATTGTCAGTTATCGATAAAAGATAGCTATCGATTACACTTCTTATTAGCCATGCAAGGAATTCAAACTACTGCTAAGAAGAGGCTATCTTCAACTGAAAGTTGGTGTAACAGACGAAGAAGCAGAAGTTATAATAAATATGTTATAATAAATATGGTATATCTATAATACATCATAAATCATCTATAAGCGAACAAAAAGAACACAGCTGACAGCTAAACCCTATTGAAGCCTATAGCTTAAATGAGTACAATGCTTTCGCTTCGCACACTTAAAAGTCAAAGTTCTTCGACCATATTAACGATATATCTATATAGATATATCTATAGACACACATATATATGTATATCTTGTATAAATAATTGTTGTTTTGGCATTTATTTTTGGCTTCTTGACTTTTGTTGTTGATTTTATTGACCGAATTGTGCGCTTATTAATTGCTGCGTTTTGTTATTTTCATTTGGCTGTCGTCTTCTGGCTATTTCGGGCACTTTGCCATTTTGGCTTTTGGCTATTCGCTTTTTGGCCATTGGCCGCATTCAAATTGATTTTCATAAAACTGTCAACTGTGCCACAAAATCTACACACATTACACATTACATAATGCCCTGCAAAGGTTTGCCACCAAGAAAAAAATCCGATTGCGAATATTTTTCCCATGGAGCTGAGCTTTTGCCTTAGCGAATAAACGAACTAAACTGATTTTCCCATATCGAGCAAGTTCCTAACAGAGCAAACAAAACATGACACATATATAATATAACTGATATATGTATATTTTTGTCTATAAATACATATATAAATGTGTTAAGGATGACTTGCTCGCCGCGAAGCTTAGATGCTCTAAAAACTTGCAGTCAAATTGGGAAGACCAAAGACAGAATTAAATAAGTTTGAGCCAATTATGATTCTTCCTATATACATGTGTATATATATAGATATACACTTGTTATACGAAACATAAGCCAGCATGCTGAAGCTACATGCTTATAGTTTAGTTTCTAATAAAGTTACAAAGATAAAAAAAATTGATTTTAAAACTTATTAATTTTAAGCAAAATCGAACAGATTTGAAAAATTATAAATATAAATTTATAATTAAAGTATGCTCTTTTAAAAAAATTCTATTTAATTTATCCTAAAAAAAAAAATAATAATAATAAAAAATTTAATTCAAATAATTTTTAATCTATTATAATTAAACAAAATTTATATATATATTTTAAATTAAACAATAAATATTGAAAATTAAATATTTTGAATATTAAATTTCATAAAAATATTTTAATTTTTTAAGTATGTATAAAAATTACAAATATTGTATAAATAAAATAATGAATAAGGAAAATTTAATATTAATAATATAAGTTAAAAAAATATATTAGAATTATTATATATATAAACAAAATAATAAAAGCTTATAATTTTACAAATCAATATCTTTGTTTCAGGGTTAATCTTATCTTAGAAAAAACATTTTTTTTTAAGCTGAAACACTAAAATGGATTTGCAGCTTTCTCAAACAATTTCGAATAATTGAAAATGAAACATAAAAATAAAATTTGTAGTTACGAGACGTTTATTGAAATGAAATGATATAGCAGTTCGATTCGACGACTTGCAAATGCTCTACACCTGCTTAGGTAAGTCACAACTTGGGGGTCTCAAGGTAGGGTATTGGAAGTGGTAAGCTTCTGGGAAATAACTTTGTGGCGTGGCAAAGAGCCATTGTATACTGAGCAAAGACTGGTAGAGAGAGAGGCGAGAGTGAGAGAAAGAGAGGGAGAGAGCACTGCAAGAGTGCAAAAAACTTATTTAGAAGCTTAGGCAAAAGCTGTTGTGAAAGGAGAACAAAGAGAAATGGAAAGCAAAACAAAAAACTTTTGTCGTTGTTCATTGTTCCTTTTACTGTTGTCATTGTTGTCGTTGATGTCGTCGATGTTGTTGTTGTTGTTGGTCTAATTGAAAACCTGACCTATGCCTAGGCAAAAGTTACCCATTGGGCTCTACTCGTTTGCCATCTGAATATCAATGAACGTTTGGCAGGAACGAAACAGCTCAATTAAAGCAAATTGCGAAATGCGTGGGACGCGATGTACATACAGCAGAGACCCACATACGTACGGACACATGTACATATATATGTACATACATATGCGCATAGATTGAAGTGATTCATCGATTCGTGGGGTGGAAAGCATATAATTACTCATAGCAAGATAATGATGCATCTATATCTGTATGTATATCTATATCTATATCTGTATCTATATCTATATCTGTATCTATATCTATATCTATATCTATATCTATATCTATATGTATATCTATATCTATATCTATATCTATATCTATATCTATATCAAAATCTAAATCTATATCTATGTCTATATCTATATCTATATCTATATCTATAACTATATCTATATCTATATCTATCTATATCTATATCTATATCTATATCTATATCTATATCTATATCTATATCTATCTCTATCTCTATCTCTATCTCTATCTCTATCTCTATCTCTATCTCTATCTCTATCTCTATCTCTATCTCTATCTCTATCTCTATCTCTATCTCTATCTCTATCGCATTTGATTTTTATAGCTAAATAATTTCCCATTTCCATTGTTGTTAAGTCCTCCAATGCGCAATATGGCTATATGCATCAGTTTAATGTGCGTTCACGAAATGAAAGGAGTTTATTGGCTTTATACACTCTTCGGCTGTCTGTCTGTATGAACGCAAATAACATTTGGAAAATGTACACTTTGTTATGCTAGTCTTATACCTGGTATATCAGCACTTCTATCAATTTACGTGCTGGAGAGTTGAAATTTGGAGTATATAATTGCGTAGACAAGTCTAGACCAAATGTATAAGATATATCTGTAGGGGCGTGGCGAATTGCTTAAAGCAAAGCTTAGTTATAGTTGAGCTTCTCTATTGGGTCAAGTTACTGCAAAATCCCTGTTAGGACAACCAAAGTCTTTAAGTTTTTTGGACCATGAACGAGTATTATGCAGTCGTTAATATGTTTTACGATTGTAAAATACACAAATTTAATTAATAATTCCATATATGTTTTGTAATTTTATTGGAATTTCAATTATTTTTTCATTTCCATCGATGATTTTGTCTGACTGACACTTGCTTTAGCTATTATTCAGCTCGTGACTCAGCGAAGCTGTGGAAAACCAAGTTAAAAGTGTTCTAGTGGGCAGTATTCGACTAGGATATACCCAGAACCAGAGCACAAAACTGATCTTCCAATCTGCTTACGCTTCTTTTATACTAACTATAACTAAGAATCAATTTTTGCACAGATACACATACACACACACACACACACACACACGCACACAAACACTCGCTCGCTCGCACCGCTTACTGCGCAGTTTATGCAGCCGCTGCGCTTGGACTGCATTAAGGCGTTCGCTCGGGCAAATAAGTTGTTGAATAAAATTAGTTCTGGATGGAATTGTTTAATACAATTTTTAGATCTGACATTCAGATGTGTGTATTACTTGACTACTTGAAATAGTAGAGACTTTTTTAAGAAAGTTGGGGATGGATACATTTGAAATCTCAATTCTCTAGGTGTTGAGGGCTACTTTATAGGGTCTGTCAAGCCTTCTTCTGTTAACTTCTTAACTTGCATTTTCAATGGCTGCTGGGTATAAAAGAGTTGAGTCAATGTAATCCTCTCTATTTCTAGCATTCTAAAGCATGTGAAGTCATATTGTTTATAACTAATATCTATTTATAACTATGCTAATCTTAGTCAGGCTGATTCATGCTCGTTAACACTTGCAATGGAACTACTTTGTAAGTATGTTTTTCATGTGTATTTAATCTATATCATTAATGATTCTTTTTCTCTTTTCTCTTTTCTCTTTTATGGCGTATCTCTTTAGTTAGACAATTTCTATTGCCACGCACACGTACACACATTCATATAATATTTATTAAAATGATTGCCAGCTGTTACAATTGCCGGGCCATTGTGAAATACGTCTGCATAATATGCCGGGTAGCAATGCTGGGTTGTTATTCATGGCTCTATTTATAGCCAAAGCTGAAGAGCAAATGATAAGCTCCACGTCAGAGAAAGGGACTGATAACAGGCAACACACAATACACACACAAACACACACGCTGATATATATGTATGTCTGTATATAGATTATCACAGCACAGGTCTGTTGTTCTTGCCCGTTGATTAGGTTCGAGTTGCCCTCCAATGGTTCTCTTTGGAGGCATCTTTAAGTATTGGTTCAATAACATTTACTGTTATTGTGGCTTATGGCTTAAGTATATTTGGCCAGTCCAACTCGACTCGAGTCTATTGATTGCAACATGCATACAGCAGTATCCAAACATGGGCACTTTTTACTGTCGGCTCTGGGGTGACATCACTGAGGCAGCAGCCGACAGGGCAGGAGAGAAAACGGAGAGTAGATATCCAATTTCAAAAGTAATGAAAGCATTAAGAGTCTACTTGTGCTTATGAGAATCGCAGAGTAAGGCACGACTAAAATTCTATTTTTGTGTTTTCTTCCCTTCTTATATTTAGAGTGTATTTTTGTATGTTTGTATGTAAGCAAAGTGTATAAAATAACCAAAAAATACTTCTAAATATGATAACTTAAAATCAAATCATTCATAAAAGTCTCAGTCTTATTCGATTCGCTTTCTGGATAATATTTTGCAGATATTCCATGGATATTGATTGCGAAAAACATTTTGCATATATGTTTTGCTATATATATATATATATCAGCCTTCTAGCCAGGACCTACTATGCACACATCTATCTATATATACACATATATATATGTATATATATACCAATAGAAAAAGTAAGGTGTGCGTGTACGCACGGGCATCCAATTTTCTAAATGGCTTTGCCTCTGACAACGTCTATCGACGTGTTTGCCGGTATTTTTCCTATACTTAACTTGTTTGCCATATATTTTGGGGCGACTCTATATATACCTAGTAAATATTTGCGTTCACCAAAAAGCAGTTGTTTCTCTATATGAGACTAGTTGGTAATTGTTATAACTCAGTAGAGATCGTTAAGGCAATAAGTTTTAAGTCCCTTTTTAAAGTGACTGTTAAATTTTATTGCTTTAACGATCTGGGCATCTGGAGTTTATACTTATATGTATTTGTAGTGATTATACGTTTTTATGTGCGAAAAGCGTATGTGGGAAGAAGCAACAGTTGCTTGAATACTGCTTAGTCATTCATTAGCTCTGGTATTTTCGCTGCTTTCCAACACTGAGAGCTAACAGTCACAGTTAGTGTGGCATGGCGACAGGATATGCGGCGCCCATGCAACAAGCTCAAAGAGCGAAAAGTTGCACACGTCATGCAAATAGAGTTTCTAGTTTCTAGCTTTTGGGGTCGCGGCAACTTTTCTGTTGTTGCTTGCCAGCCAACCCAAAGGCAGAATGGTTGTATGTATATATTTCTGTTCTGTTCAGTTCTTCTTCTCTTTTTGCTGCCATTTCCATGACCAGCAATTACAGCTCTCACACGCATACACGCAAAACTGGCTGCGTGCGTGCGTGTCTGTGTCTGTGTGTGTATTTATTTGTGCAATTGTTAAGCCATCACTCACCTCCTTTGCGCTTCTCAATTCGCCGTATGCTCAGGCCCATGTCTGGGTCCATGTCCATTTCAACGTCGGTGTCAAAGCCAAAGCTGCGATAGCCCTTGGCACTTAGTGCATCTGCATAGCTTTGCATGCCGCTGTTTTCACACACACACTTGCACTCACACGCACAAGCACACACACACACTTACACACACCGGCTATGCCTGCTCTCTATTGATAATGAGCTTTTATTTAGTGCGTTTGTGACGTGCCTTGAACTTGATGCTGCTGCTGGGCTTTGCGGTGTCGTCACTTTTGGCTTGGCTCTTCCACTCCTCCACTTCCTCCGCCTGTTACTTTTCCTTTCCTTTTATTCTGTCTGTGTTGCAATTTCGTGCCGAATTGCAAGCGATTATGTTTTTTAAGTGCAAATGTAAATACAAGATTTTCTCACTCAGAAATCGCACGCTAGTCAAATATTAAGTGACACGCCACTTTCAGTTCAACGCAACGCAAAAAAAATTATAAAAAAAAACAATAACAATAATACTGCTTTGTATTGAACGAAATTAAATGCGGAACTTTCGATTGGCACTCGTTAAGCGCTACAACTTTATTTTGCGACTGGGACGTTCAGCCGGAACTTTTTTTATGCATTGCGCAGCGCAGAAAATTTCAATGCGCCAAGCGTTGCCACTGGCAATTGAACGGCGTTGCCAGCTACTGAGGAAAAGGACGTGTAGTGCAGCCAGACTGAGCATGCAGCTAACCATTAGTGATGCCAGGGGTAGCGATAGTATCGATTGTTTTGCTTAGCGCGCTCTTTTGAATGCGCCAATAATCGCAACTGCTGAGCGCCAAATGTGAAAAGTACGTTTTGAATTAAAAGCCGTTATTCTTTTTTTTTGTTATTTAGTTTATTTGTTTTTTTTTAGTTTTTTTTTTATTATTTTTCGTTTTTGTTTTTTTGGTTTCGTTTTTTGGTTTTTGTTTGTTTGTTAATGTAATGCATAAAAATTGTGTTGTTTTAAAACTAAACCAATAAACATTTCACTTTATTAGTTTAATACAAATAATTTCACTTGTCACGACAAATAGTTATTCAGATTTTCAATTGCAAAGTATTTTTTTTTCTTTTGTTAAGTTTTTCTTTTTTTCTCTCTATTTATTAGTATTTATTTGTTGTTTCATTTACTTTTGTATATAAGGAAACGCAAAAAATCTCTAAACAAGAATATAGTTCTGTTTGATTTTTCTTTGTCGTTTGTTTCTTGTTTGGAACGGCTTTATTGAACTTTTGTTGTTGTTTGGATTTTTGTTGCATATAAGTACATTTGTTTGTTTGTTTTTTTTTTGTTTTTTTGCTTTAAAAACATTAAATCTTTGGCAGGCATTGCATTTCGTAGTTTTGTAAAAGTTTCGATAAAACGATTGAAACCAAAATCCATAAACTCAAAATCAAAGTTTTTCTTTTAAATAACTGAACGAATCAATTGTTTATACTAAATACATTTGAGATGAATTTTCTTCTGCTTTTTAGTTCATGATTTTTTTTTGTGATTTTTTTTTCTTTTTGTTGTTATTTGTTTGTCTTCATTAATATATTAAATACACATCAATACGTTAGTTTAAAAATTGTGGTTTTTGTTTTTGTTTTTTTTTTTGTTTTGTGCTAAATTACATTTTAAAAATATGCTTAATATTTTGTTGTTGTTGTTTTTGCTTTTGTTAAGTCAAAGACACGAAAGTGAAAGAGGTTTTGGTTTTTGGTTTACGTCTGTTTTTGCTTAATTTATTATGTGTTTTGCTTTAATTGTTTATTTAGTGTAATTAATTTTTCATGCGCTTAATTTAAAACACCGAGAGTTTGCTCAAAAGTTGCTTAAATTTTGTTTTGTTTTACTTTTTTCTTGGTTTTTTCCGAATTAAATGTTAAATATCGAAATATATATATATATATATATATATATATATATATATATATATATATATATATATATATATATATATATATATATATATATGTATATATATATATATATATATATATATATATATATATATATCATTTGTTGTATTTTTTTTTGCTAATTTTTGTATTTTATTTTTTCGTTTTTCTTGTGTTTACTGTGTTTAAATTTGAATGTTGCTTAAAAACACCGAAAGCTTAAAATTTAGAGATTTTCCTAAAGTGTAAAATTTTTACAATATTTTTGTTTTTGTTTTATTTTTTGTATTCGATTTTCGTCTTTTAGTTTTTGTTGTTTTTGATTCTTTGTTGTTCTCTTTTTTATTCTTTTCTCTATAGTTCTGTCTGTGGTTCCTGTGGTTGTGGCTTGCTCATGTTTTACATATATTATATCTTTTGGGTTTTTGAATATTTTCGAGTTCTTTGGCAGCCCAAAAACAAAGCATAAAGTCGCTAAATGGAACCAAAAATATCCAAAAGTATATCTATACAATAGTTTCGCGTATCTCTTCATTGGTTTCGTGGTCCTAAATAAATGAGATTTAAAGAAAAACTCCTTCATTGCCCTATACTCGCCTCGCCTTGCCTCGCCTCGCTAGCTATAATAAAAATCTGTTCACATTTCGCATACCATTTCAATAAATACATACATAATTAGTTGATTAAGGAAAAAACTGTATCACATTTTCAATTACGTCTTTGTTCGTAGCACCTTCATAACAAATGCTGGCAATGTGTGCTTTCACTTGTCACCTTTCTCTTCGCTTCTCACTGTCCAATGCTCACTGCTCACTGCTCACCTCTCACTGCCTCAGTGGAGCTGGAGTTTTTAGTGTTTCGCATTCTCTACCAGCGTTTTTCTAACTATTTACAGACCTTTTGTGCCTTGCTCTCAGTTTAATTCAGTTCAATTAGATTCGATTCATTCAATGCCAGCTTTTACTGTCTCTTCTTCTTCTTACATTTACCTACCATACAGTTGGAAAAAAATTGCGCTTCGGATTTTATCACAAAAATAATTACAACTCCACAACATTCCCATCTAACTTCCCCCCTCTATCTCTCTCTTTCTCTATCTTTCTCTCTCTCTTTCTGCCTGTCTCTCTCTCTTTTTCGTACCAGCCATGACTTAAACTAATATTGGTTCCATTTGGTTCCATTATTTCTGCTATATCCTTAATTACCATTAGCCATTTTTTATATACGCTCAATCCCATACCCATTTCCCATCCAATCTTAAGTTCTCTCACTCTCAGTGTTCACAAATCGAACTAAAAATATTCAACTAAATCTTTGGTATGCATCTTTCCATATGCATTTCCCCTAAAGCCCTGAAAACTGATCAAACGTCACGAAAATTAAAATAAAGTAATCGAGTGGAAAGGAAGACTCAAAGCATGTCTGGGCATATATAGCTAGATATATGCTCTGATCTAAGAAAACATAAAACATAGAGGTGGGAAAACATATATTATGACATATGACTATTATCTTTAAGTTTCTGGCTTTGTAAGTTTATCCTTTTTGTTGTTTGTTTTTTATTATTATTTGGTTTTCTTATTTGTTTTTTTTTTTCGTCAAAATCAGTCTCTATTGCCTTTGTTCTATGTTTTTTTATGCTTGTCTTTCGATTTGTTTCACATATACTCGTTCACGATATGCTAATGGGGTAGATAGTATGTCATATACAGACTCGCTTGCATCAGTGTTTGCGATATATATCGGAACTATGTAAATTTGATTGCCTTCCATTCTCATTCAATTATTCTTACAATTATGCACTAAAAAGTTCCCGATGTGCCGCTTTACTCCCCGCCCATCTCTAGCCGACCCGTGTGCAGCGACTCAGCCGCCACCTCGATGTGCCGTCTTGTTGCCTGCCCATCTCTAGTTGTTTACTGTTAGTCGACTTGAGCGCAGCGCCAGGGCCATCTTGCTCTCACTCAGCTACAGCCGAGACTTCGTTCAGCCACAGCTGTATTTGTCTCTCTCTATCGCAGCAAATGCAATTAAAAAGAAAACGGACTTTATGCAGGCGCTCGGCCTCTAAGGAAAGGCAATCACGATAAATGAGAATAAAATGAACTGTAAACCGTAACAGACTATTCTTCACATATACATATACATATATATACATATATATGTAATTCTAATTTCATAGTCCTTCAACCTAGTTCCTAGCCGCAAAATTTGAACCCATTTTCGCAAATCGAAATCAATTTTTATGTTTTTACAGTTCTCGAATCAGTGAAGTGACTCAGCGCTGATCTGATCAATGGACCTATAAGTTAAATGAAGCTTAGATGTTGTTAAATAAATGTCAATGCTTGAGGTCAGTGAACGAGTATCATGCAGTCGATATCGTCCGACTGCCATATGTTTCTTTTCTTTGCTATAATTATGGTTTTCTTTGCTATTAGCCAGGCTTCAGTAAAAAGTTGTTAAATGTTTTTTTTTTTCGTTTTATACTTTTGCATATTTAAAACCCGCATTTTGGGGGGTTTTTTGGTTTTTTGTTTTTTTTTTTTTTTTTTGGTTTGTATGTATGTAGTACACCTTAGAAAAATATCACATTCTTACTTCGTTCGTTCGTTCGTTCGAGAGACATTTTTATGTGTTTACATTTTGTTGTATTCTTTGGTTTCTGCTTTTGCGTTTGCTTTTGCTATTTCGTTTTCATTTTTGTTTTGTGTTTTTAACTTCTATTTACAGTTCGACTAAAATATATAAAAAATTTAAAAAATATTTGATTTGAGGTCATTTTCTGAATTATTGCTAGTTGCTCTGGCATGTTGCTTCCTCCTTCTCTTCCTCCTCTTCTTTCTCTTCTTTCATTCATTTCAATTCATACTCTTAGCCCTATATATATATATATATATATATATATATATATATATATATTTTTTTTTATTTTTTTGTTTACATTTAAACATTGGAATTTCATCTAAAATTGTTTTTTTTTTATTTGATTTTTTTTCGTTCGTATATTTTGTAGACACTGAATTGTTTTTACGAGTATGTATAAAAAAAATTCTTTTTTTTTTTTATAATTATTATTTTTTTTTTTTTTTATTACTGCATACAGTTGCACACAGGTATGTGTGCGTGTGTATATATATTTATATAATATTTCATTAGACACGACAGTAAAAGTTTAGAGAGAGAGAGAGAGGGAGAGCGAAAGAGAGACAAAATACATTTTTTATTTTATTTTAGTTTTTTTTTTGTTTTTAATATCTTTTTAGCTCACAACATCAACAATGAAATATTTTGTAATCTTGTCATATATGTGATTTTTTTTGTTTTATATTTTGTTTTTATTTTGTTTTTCTGTAAAAATCTCAAAAAGACGCCTAACACCGAAAAATATATTGCATGTACTACATTTTGTTTTTGTTATTATATTCTTAAGTTTTTGTTCTTGCTGTTATATATATATATATATATTTATATATATATATATATATATATATATATATATATATATATATATATTTCATTTCATATAATTTGTGTTTGTTTTCCTTCAGATGGTTTCCTTTATATACATGAGTTAGTTTGCTGTTAACAATGTATGTGATTATAGACAATTTAATATATTTATATATAGATGCAAAAGAAAGTATAAAAAGGTAAAT